TGTCACATCTGGTGATTCCCTGTAGGTTCCCCTCATCCTGTCTGTGAGGTCCATGCTACCTGGAGCCACCATAGCACCAGCCACCATACTTGTTCACTTGTGTCTCTTTCCCAGCAGCTTTCCCAAAGGATGGATATGTGGACTTTATATTTCACAGAGCCCATCTCTGGGACTGGTATATTGTTTAACAGAGCTTACAAATGTCATAGTTGGGTTGGGAGAATATAATAAACAGAATGGTTTATAAATAGTAGAAAAAAAACATTTTTGCTGCTGAGGATAGAATCTAGGGCTTTGTGTGTACTTGTTGAGTACCCTGAGACAGTCCCTAAATGATAGAAATTGATTTCTCATAGTTTTGGAGTCTGCTAAGTCCAAGAACAAGGTACAGTACATTAAGTACCTATTGAGACACTATGCATTATTAAATCAGCTTTCCGTGATGATAAGAGTCTCTGTTGTAGGTTCTTACGAAGAGAGATTTGATTTTGTAGTCAGGGATGCAGCCTAGAGCATTTGCTAGCATGTGCAAAGCCCTGGTTCAGTCCCCAGCAATAATAGAGTTTCTTCACTGAATGTGGTGGTACAGTTGTGTAATCCTGGCACTTAGGATGGTAAGGCAGGAGGATTGTCACTTGGAGGAAAGTCTAGGCTTCTATTGAATTAGAGATCAACCTGGGCTATACAGCGAGTTCTTGTCTCCAAAAAAAGGTTTCCTTTTGGGTGGGGCCTGTGGTAAGTGTAATATATCATGGGAGGAGCACGTGTCAGAGCAAGGAGTTACACCCAAGTCGGGAAGAAAGAGAAGGTAGTGTGATGGTTTGAATGAAAATGGTCTCCGTAGGTTCGTAGAGAGTGACACTATTTGAAGGCATGGCCTTGTTGGAGTAGACGTGGCCTTGTTAGAGGAAGTGTGTCACTGGGGGTGGGCTTTGAGGTTTCAGAAGCTCAAGCCAGGCCTAGTGGCTCACTGTCTTTTCTTGCTGCCTGTGGATTCAGATATAGAACTCTCAGCTCCTTCTCCAGCACCATGTCTGCCTGCATACCACCATGCCTCCTACCATGATAATGGACTGAACCTCTGAACCATAAGCCAGCCCCAATTCATTGTTTGCCTTTATAAGATTTGCAATGGTCATAATGTCTCTTCCCAGTAATCAAAACCCTAACTAAGATAGATAGACAGATACAGGGAAATAGACACACAATTATTTTCAGTGAGCTAAGGACCTCCCACCACTCATCTCTTAAAGGCTCCATCCTGGGAAGCAAGGCTTTAATTCATGGACCTTTGGGAAACATTTATCATCCAAAGTATAGCTAGCTGCTCATTCCCTGGCTCATACATGACCATCTTTTCACTGTGCTCTCATGTGATAGAAAGGGCAAGGGCATCCTCTACATTTTCCTTTATAAGGTCACTGATCCAATGATGAGTTTCTACCTTCAACCAGAGTACCTTTCAAAGGTCTTCCCTTAGAAAGCTGATGCCTGCCTACAAAGAACTTGTCTTAGTCAGGGTTACTGTTGCTTCGATGAAACACCTTGAGCAAAGCAACTTGAGGAGGAAAGGGTTTATTTGGCTTACTGTGGTGATATTTTATTTGTGTACCCCAATAAAGCTTATCTGGGGATCAGAGGAAAAAGCCAGTCACTATATTAAACATAGAGGTCAGGCAGTGGTAGCACACACCTTTAATCCTAGCATTCAGGAGGCAGAGATTCATCCCGATCTCTGTGAGTTCAAGGCCACACTGGGAACAGAGCCAGGAGTGGTGGCACATGCCTTTAATCCCAGTGCTAGTTAACCATAGAGGTCTGGAGGTCTGGACAGATAGACAGGAAGTGATAGAGCTGGGTGGAAAGAGGAAATGATGTAGCTGGGTGGAGAAAGGAAGATGGCAGAGCACAGAAAGGATATAGGCGTGAGTATACAGGAAGTAGCTCTCTCTGGAGGCTGAGGAGTTCGTAAGGTGAGGTTGGCTGTGGCTTGCTCTCTGATCTCTCAGTTTTCACCCCAATATCTGGCTCTGGGTTTTTTTTTTTTTTTAATAATAAGACGTTTTAGCATTCGTCTCACAGCTTATACTTCCACATCACTGTTCATCATCAAAGGAAGTCAGGACAGGACCTCAAACAGCAGGAACTTGGAGTCAGGAGCTGATGCAGAGGCCATGGACCAGTGCTGCTTACTGGCTTGTTCCCCATGGCTTGCTCAGCCTGCTTTCGTATAGACCCCAGGACCACCAGCCCAGGGAAAGCACCACCCACAATGGCCTGGGCCCTCCCATATCAATCACTAATTAAGAAAATGCCCTACAGCCCAGTCTTATGGAGGCATTTTCTCCATTGAGGTTTCCTCCTCTCAGATGACTCTATCTTGTGTCAAGTTGTTATAAAACTAGCCAGCATAGAGAGAGTGACTTGTTTTTGTTTTTATTTTTGTTTTTTATGCTACAGAAAAAAGTTGGAGTAGACTTGATTTAAAGAGGAAGGCAGAGCCAGGCGGTGGTGGCGCATGCCTTTAATCCCAGCACTCGAGAGGTAGAGCCAGGCGGATCTCTGTGAGTTCGAGGCCAGCCTGGTCTACAGAGTGAGAGCCAGGACAGGCACCAAAACTACATGGAGAAACCTTGTCTCGAAAAACAAACAAACAAAACAAAACAAAAACAACAACAACCAACAAAAAGCAAGGCAGAGCACCTTCACTCTGCCAAACGAGTGGCAGAGATGGAGACATCTCACTCTGGGCTCCAGAACGCTGTGCACCTCTCTTCCCAGCTTATCAGTGACCCCACATGGGTGGTTTGAAATCAACCACCTGAGCACACTTGTGCCATGGGAACTGGTGAAGACCCCAGAGGGGTGGCTACTTAACAGGGCCCACTGTGGGTGAACAACTGATGATAAACACCTCCCTGAGGTATAGGGTGGCTCAAAGGGGTTGGGACTCATCTGTCTGGTGGAGTCAAGAAAGTGGAGCTCATGTGGTGAAGGGGCAGACCAGACAGAAGTGGGAAATAGCACAACATATCCTAGGCTTCTGGAAAGGAAACTGTGGATACGAAGGAGCTGGGTAGCCTAGGAGTTATTAAAGGGCACTTATTGCATAAATTCAACACAACACTGGGGTTGGGGAGAGAGGACCCTTTGTTCTTTAGCTGGATCAATCCCCAGAGGTTTTCAAATGGGGCTTAACTGGGCCTTTACCCAGCTCAGTAAAAGGGAACCTAGACCTTGGCAGGGTGAGGGGGGACCTGGCATAACAAAGAGAGTGACTTGGAAGTACTCTAGGCTACCAGCTAACTGGAAAATGGCAGCAGAGGCTTAGAAATGCTCTGGGAATTGGGGGCAGGGGCGAGGGTCAGACACTCAGGGTTCAGATCATGACCCATGAGACTGGCCGGCAGCACCACTCTCCAAGCCCGACTGGTCACCCTTTGGTTCAGGTGGGACCTGGGAGTTGTGGGTGCTCAGAGATCCTCCGGCTTCCACTGCCCAACCTTTTTCCTCAGGGTCTCTAGACTGCTTGAGTATCACCAGGCGACCTCTACTGCTCGGCCTTTGCCACACTGACCCAAAGGTGACTGAGGGAGACTGAGGGCACCCAGCTGTCTGGGCAGATGGAGCTGTTAAAGCTAGGAGCTTTAGGACCTAGAGAGCAGCCTGGTCTCTCCCTTTGCTAGGCTTGTTATCAAGGCTCCCCCCCCCCCCCCCCCCTTTTGCTCTGGGAAATGATCACAGGGCCTTGTTTCCCTGCCAACCACTGCCACCAGCCCTGAGCCCCGGGACACCTAGGCAGACACAGATGGTCAGTGTGAAGAGACTGCAGTCCTGAAAGGGATGGGTGGTGCTCTGGCCACAAGCAGACCTTGGCTAACCCCCACTGACAGAGCCTGTTGGGAACAATTCATAAAAGGCAGCTGGAATTGGGTAAATTCTAATAAATGCTCTGATTCAGGCCACATCGTGACTAATAAAAAACATGGTGGGGATGGCAGCACTGAGGTGGAACACTGTGGCGTAGGCAAGGGACTCCATGGCCACTTCTACACAGGGAGCACGGACCCGATGGCAGGACAGGGTCACGAGGCTTGGCTTTCTTAGAAATGGAGGGATCATTTGGTGGTCCTGAGGGTGTCAGGTCACAGCATGGTACCTAAGGAGGCAGCCATTGCTGGCCTTCAAGCATGCAGGGACCCTGCTAGGGGCAGGCCGCGTGCAGTGGTCATCAAGGAGCACTGGAGTTCCCGTCGGCACCCTTTCCTGACCATATGCTGCTGCATGTGTGGGAACAGAGAGCCGAGAGCGGACAGGGATGAAGCTCGGCAGTAGTGAAGCTAAGCTGACTATGGGTGAGCTCCCTCTGGGAGCGAGGGGCTCAGAACAGCCCCTCCCCGCCCCCCGCCCCGCGCGCATGCGCTCCTGCTCCACTGCAGCGGGCACCAGCCACACTGCTCTGGGCTCCTCCTCCCTCCCATCTCCTGCTGGGCAGCTGGCTGAACTCACCTGTGATGCGGGCCTGGAGAGACAGTTGAGTGCACCCCCTGTCCCCACCACGCCCCCACGCAGTGGCTGTTGGGAGGGCCCCCCGCCCTCACGCCTCTCCTGCACTCAGTGCATTCCGTGCATGTTCTGTCCATGGCTGACCCGCTTTCCACCATCCCCAAAGTTCTTTGTGGGAAGAACTGACCTCTTTCCCACATCTCCACAGCAAGTGTGAGGAGCCCATTTCTAAGCTTGTTGGCTAACTCTGCCCACACAGTGGTCCACCATAACTACCCACTGAGAGAGCATCCACTGAGCTGTGTTCCAGGACCAGCTGGAATTCCCACCAACTCCTTTAAGGTGCCTGGGGCAGGGGTGTTAACCAGTGAGGAAACAATCACAGAAGCTCAGTGACATGGTCAAGGATCTACCAGTACGCACGGGAGCCAATTCATACCTGGTCCATATGATTTAAGACTGGAGATTTCCCCCCTCTGGAAGCAGACACAAAGTAACTGTCATTTATCGTTTATTCTCACATACATTATTTTGTTTGATCCTCACAACAGTCCTGTGAGGTAGGTAGGGTTATGTATTACTATATGCCCATTTCACAGATGAAGAAATGGAGGTGGCTCAGTGAGGCGAGTGACTTTTATAGTCAAATAGTATGTTAGTGGCTTCACAGGTCCTGTACTTGCTCTAAGGTCAAACTATCGAATTAGGAAGCACCAAAAAGATGGAGAATGCAGTTTTATGCAGAAAAAAATGTGTGGGGGGGCAGTGTTGATTTCTGAGGTGTTTTTTTTCTCCCTTGACTTAATTGGCTATGATCACAGCTTCTGTTGTCCTGATTGGTTCTCTGAAGAACTTTCCAGAGTACTACTGGTATGGTGGCTCAAGACAGCCACAGAGAAACCTCTGAGTCCTGCTGTAGGGAGAGAAAGGCCTTTAGTGCCTCGGGACCAGGTTTTGCCTATGCCTATGGAAACTCCTCATTCACAGGGTATGTGGTATGTGGAAGCCCTTTGCTCTATCCACCCACGGATCCTGTTCCAGGCTTCCCTGGCTGTGTCTGGAGCTTGTCCGCAGTGGGGGAGATTCTGGGACTCTCGAAGAAGCTATAGTCAATCCAGGGATGAGTCACAATGTGCAGTTTAGAGGTCCATAAGGTACCTCGCCTGTTGGGAAGTAGTGGTCTGGGGTTTCTTGCCCTTAATGTATCCCAGGGCGGCCCATAGGTAGTTAGGACCAGACAGTGTGATGGGGAAGGCTGCTTTCTTAAGAGAAGTGTTAGGGCTGGAAATCTGCTCCAGGGGCACTGTGGTAGTACAGAGCACTCCTGTACTCCTTGCCGAAGACCATTTTCCAAACCCCTGGATCTCCTCAGTCAGCGGTCTTCTTCCAGCCAGACACAATCAGGCATGCTGAGCCATTGCTGGTGGGGAAGGTTGATGAACTGGGGGCCATGAACAAGGCAAAGCCATATAAAAGAGGGTTGGCTTAGGAGAGAAAGGAGCTAATCTTGCTAAAGACAAATTGTAAGGGGAATCTGAGTTCTGAGTAATGATATCATCAAAGTGTCTAGTCAAAGCAAGGACACACATCTGAGTGAAAAGGAAGACCTAGCACATGGACCCAGCAGAAAGGATTGTGGGTCAATACTGAAAGGACTTTCTAACAACCAGCATGGCTCAACCTTGGCAAGAGCTGCCCTGAGAATAGTGAGCTTTCTGTCACCAGGGGGTATGCAAGGTGGCATAAGTGATCCCTTGGAGGTACTCAAGGAGAGGCACTCATCCCCAAATGTCCTGGGGTGTCCTAGAAGAAGGGGAAGAACTAAAAACTACTGGATTATTTTCCAACCCTGAGAGTTCATAACATATTGGTTTAACCGACTGGTTTGGGTGATACTTCCAATTCATGGGAAAAGGATCATGAAAGTCAAGCGACGGGCTGGGTCCTTCATCATCTTGGCTCCAATACATCACATCTCTGCAGGGAAAACCACCAATTTCTGAAGCCAAGAATCCTTCAATTCAGCCTCTTCAGAAGGGTCACCCCTTCCTGCTGAAGCCTAGACACTCACTCCTGTAGGCCACGGGACAGCTCAACTTTCTCCCTGAGTGGAGTGGCAAAGGGTTCTGGGAACATATTGCATTCCAAACCACCCAACCACGGTTGCCTTTGGGCAAAGGTGTCCTGGTACCTGGACGCATCCTCCAGAACAAAGCAGGTGTGATGGGAAGTTGCTGTACATGTGATGTCCTAGGAAACTAACAGAAGCCTCTTGTTCCCACCCTACCCCTCGGCAGCCAGGGCTCTCTCTGGAGATGGGTGAGGCACTGACTAGGGGTATGGTGATTACCCATGAGAAAACTGCCCCTCCTTTGTCCCAGCCAGAGTCCTCCTGTGGGCTCCTCTTGTATGTATCAGCTGACTTTTAACTTGTCATAATAAACTACCCATCGCCAGCTCAAAATGGCAAGAAAAGGTGGTTCTGTTTAGAGGACATGTGGATTCCAGAAGGTGGACTTCATCATGTGGAATCAAGTCCTGCTGTGCAATTAATACAGATTAGTATAGCTCCCTGCCTCGCGCCACCGGTGAGACCCTCTCCTCAAAGCCTTGGCTGACATGAGCTTCTTGGGGGCTCCTTCCCCAGTGTAGCTAGGGTCTTTTTACCTGTACCGGATTAACCGAATGATCTTGTTGTTCATGAAGTCCAGAGCGTGTGGATGGGAAGAATCAATGCAGAATCCATCACTCAGAGCGATTTTCAGTACCTCCTCCACAAAGACCTGGAAGCTGTTGATCTGCTTGTTGGCGGGCACCACCCACAGCCTTTTGAGGTTTCTGCTTGGTGTACTCTTCCTCTGGAAGGCCTTCCACATTAGCCACCCAGTCAAGAGTCAGGTGGTTGGGGTCCTGCGAGTGGCTGGTGATAGAGGACAGATTGCCATTGGAACAGTAGAAGAGCTTAGAGCCAAGGAGCTTGAGGAAGAGGCAGGATGTGCTGAAGATGTTGGCATTGAACACCTCCATGCTGGAGGAAGACAGGCTGTAGATCTGTGGTGCCTCCCGCACGGTGAAGTGGACTGTCTGCACACGCTGCTTCAGCGTGATGTTGAGCATGGCATTCTTCTCTGCCTTGGAGAGTTCTACCTCCTTCTCCTGCAGGGCCTCAATCAGGGGCTGGACCTGGTAGAAGTCAGCTTCCCTGCGGAGCAGGCCCATCTCCTGGAAGTCCTCCGGCAGGTCCAGGTGGGACGTCCGCAGGAAGTTGAGGATGTAGCGGAACACTTTGCCATCACGGTCAATGAAACAGTTCCCTTGGCTGTCCCTCTTGGTGGGCATCTTCCCACTGAACATGGCGCCCAGCATGGAGTCAGGGAAGCTGGTCAGAGTTGCCAGTGAGGTTGTGTAGAGCTTCCCCCCAACATTCAGTGTAATGGGGTCAGACATGGTAGGAGGCCAGGTGCCTGGAAATAGTTCTAGATGGGTAAAATGAGAAAAGGGTTATTATCCAACCGTATCTATAGTCACACACACACACACACACACACACACACACACACACACACACACACACACACACACACACACACCTGTGTCCTAGTACTCATAGGAATTTTTTGAAAAGTCTCCTTGGTGATTCAAATGTGAGGTTGGAGAGCCACTGTGGAAGAAAGGAAAACGTGCCTGGGCTCAAGGCTCCCTGAATCCTTTTATGAATATTAACTTGCATACATAATAACCTTGTCATCTTTTGGCACAGACAGTGTCGTCATTCATCCCTGTTGCAGACAAGGACAGCTGGGCCAAGACTTATTCCTGGCTTAGAGAAATGAGTGCTTTGGCAGGATTCAAACTCAAGTTCTTTTTGTGTGAAAGAAAAATGTGTAAATGATTACTAGCTAGAGAATGTTATCTTTTGAAGTACTTAACAAACGCTTTGTGATTGGGCTCAGAACTCTCACTGCATCAGTACTGATTCAAATGAATTATTTTTCTCTTTCAATTTACAAATAATTGTAACTAGTGCCATTTTCATCTATCTACCAGAACTACCATGGATCACTTAGTTTCTGGCCTCCAAATGACAATACGTTTTGGACACCACCCCCACAATACCAATCTACTCTGCCATGAAGATGCTCTTTTCATTCCTTAACCATCTGAAGCTGATTGCAGAGCAGGGTTGCTCCTGAAGATGCCTTACCCACTCTTTAAAAACACCCTTGGCTAGAGATGGTCCAGCTCTTAGAGCACTCATTGCTCTTGCCGAGGACTGGAGTTCAATTCTTAGCACTCACAAGGTGGCTAACTACCTGTAACTCCCAGTCCCAGAGGATCTAATGCCCTCTTCTGGCCTCTGAGGGCACTGCATGCATGTGGTGCACAGACATACATGCAGGCAGACTATTCATACATATCAAGTAAAATCAAGTGAAATATTTTTGAAAGACAATAAAAACATCCCTCACTTGCCTCCCAGCCTCCAGCATCTAGAGCATGAGCCTCCTTTAACTGTAAGCCCTGGACCTAGCATCTTTTTAAGGTTCTTGAGAGCATGAGCTCTACCCTCTCAGCTTCTATAGGAAACATATAGAATGGATTCAACAGTGTTACTGCGAGAGTGGAGGTGGGGAGACCAAGAGAAATGAACCGTAGTACTGCCCTACACAAGAACCTATGCTGGTGGGAGTGTGGGGGAGGGCAGACAACAGACAGTGAAGGTGCACGACAAGACAGAGGCATGAAGAGCTGGGGGAGAGGAATCCGGGTACAGCATGCTGTGCTCACAGGTCCATGGGGGTGGGGTCAGCAGAGGCAGCAAATACTTCTCTGTGTGCTGGTCATTTGAAGAGTGTGTCTACATTGAGACCCCCTTTCTGGTGGGCAAAGATGCCCAGCTGCTTTGTCCATCTGGCTGGAAGGACTTGCAAGTCGTTCCCAGTCTAATGGGGCATTTTGATACTGCAGAAAAGCATCAACCATCTGGAATGTCTGAAGAGGAACCAGCCCACGATGAAGTTATAAAACTCTTGGCAGGAACATGGCGCAGATGGGCTGTGAGACACTGGGGAGGTCCAACAGAGCTGGGTGCAGGCAGCTGTGGAAGAGGTGGAGGCCAGCACTTGGTAACAGCAGCTGGGAAGGGGGCTTGGGGCTCGGAGCTGAGTCAGGCACCAACAAGACCCAGGAGTGGGTCACCCTTACTCAGGATTAAATGAACTAATCCAGAACCTTCTTTCTCTTTCTCCTTTCCCATTCCCGGACTCTGGTCCCTTTTTTCTTTTGGACAACACCCTGCATATTTTAGTTTTTCTGTCCTTGAGAAATGTCACTCCCACCCCCGCATTTCTCAAACACTGCACTTCAAGCCCAAACTGCTTTGTGAAGTAGTTCAGCTCCACAGTCTTAGGGATCAGGAGGGCTGAACTGTATTTCTAGACAATTCTGTGGTCCAAAGACTGTATCTCATCCCCTTCAGGTGTTAGTGCAGAAGTGCTGGGGTGGGGAGAGGTGGAGCCACAAAGCATTCCTGGAGGTCTAGGGTGGTGCCTGAACACTGTTTCTCTGCTTGCACAAAGCAGCAGAGAATGGGTTCATAGCTCTCAGGCCCTTGTCAGGACGGCAACAGTTTCAGCTGGTAGGAGCAGAGGGAGGCTAAGAAGGCAGGCCTCCTGCCCTAACCTAGGGAACCTTCTATGGGGTCTGCTCCAGACCCACTGAGTCATACAGCAGTCTTCTAAGGCCCCACAGTCAGTGGGTCACAGTGTCCCCCATAACAAGCTCACAGGCTCTGGTGTAAAAGGCACACTAACGTGACACAAGGGGCAGGAAATGGCACCTCTAGAGGGCCAAAGATTTCACAAGTGAGATAGTTGCAGTAGTGATGAACTAATACTACTGAGCTTCAGCCTCACGTGTGCCCAGCTGCCTCTTGGCCATCTCTACCAGATATTCACCAGGTACCAGAGCTCAGCAGAATTCCTCTGCACCAGACCCACTGGGAACTCTTCTTGGCCACCAGCTGCTGAAAACAAGTCCTGGGATCTTCAGCACTACAATGTGTCTTGAACCCATTTCTATAAGTACTGCAAGCCTCATCCTTGTGCCCTAGTCTACACCCTACATCTTCCCTTGGCTTTGTCTTCTGTCTATTCTCTATTCTGGTCTCAGACCAGATTCTCCTGAAGTACTAGTCCCCATCCAGACCACTTCGCCCTTCCACTCATCCCAAACCCCACCTCGCTATACATTTTGGGCTCTGGTACTCACCCTCACACCTGCCTTGTCTGCTGTTCATACACTTTCTGCCTCTGTCTTAGTTAGGGTTTTTATTGCTGTGAACAGACACCATGACCACAGCAACTCTTATAGGGAAAACATTTAATTGAGGGGGCTTGCTTACAGTTTCAGAGGTTCAGTGCATTATCATCACAGTGGGGATCATGGCGGCGTGCAGGCAGGCATGGTGCTGGAGAAATAGCCAAGTGTCTTACATCTTGCAGGCAACAGGAAGTTGAACTGACACTGAGGAAAGCTTGAGCAAAGGTGACCTCAAAGCCTGCCCCTACAGTGACACACTTGCTCCAACAAGGCCACGCCTCCTAATAGTGCCACTCCCTATGGGGGCCATTTTCTTTCAAACCACCACATTCCACTCCCTGGCCCCCAAAGGGTTATAACCATATCATAATGCAAAAGTGCATTCAGTCCAACTTGAAAAGTTTTCATAGTCTATAACAGCCTCAAACTTATTTCAAAGTTCAAAGTCTCTTCTGAGACACATGGCAATCTCTTAACTGTAAAGACCTATAAAAATAAAAAATCATGCTGGGTGGTAGTGGCGCACGCCTTTAATTCCAACACTGGGAGGCAGAGCCAGGTGGATCTCTGTGAGTTCAAGGCCAGCCTGGTCTACAGAGCAAGATTCAGGACAGGCACCAAAGCAGATCGTATACTTCCAACATATAATGGCACAAGATACATATTACCATTCCAAAACGCAGAGAAGGGAGCACAGTAAGGAAATACTGCACCAAAGCAAGACTGAAAACCAGCTAGGCAAACTCCAAACTCGGCGTCTCCATGTTGATGTCAAGGCTCCTTTCAGTTTGTTGACTGCAGCACATTTTTCTCTTGGGCTGGTTCCACTACCAGTTAGTAGCTCTCCTTGGCAGGTATCCCATGACTCTGGCATCTCCAACATTGTGGGTTCTCCAAGGCAATCCAGGCTTTACCTCCATAGCTTCATGCAATGGCCTCTCTACTAGGCCTCCATTCAGGGATACCCCTGACACATGCCTGGCCTTAACAGCTTTATTCCATAACTCTTTCTTCTATCCTTAACTCTAAAGTCAAAACCATGTGGCTGAAGCTGCCAAGTTCTGCTGCTTGCTAGGGCTGGAACATGGTCCTTCATTCAATTACATCCTCACCACATTTCTGTCTTTCACTGCCTAAGCTTGGCTGTCCCTGAACTTTCTCTTTAGACTGGCCTCAAACTCAGAGATCCACCAGCCTCTGCCTTCCCAGTGCTGGGAATAAAGGTGTGCCCCACCATACCCTGCTCTAAGCTTTTCTTTAGTTTCTTTCCATAAGTTGGAAACTTAACTGGGTAGGATCTTGCTTTAAGGTCACTACTCCCTTTATCTTTCTTAACCTGTTTATCTCCTTGAACACAGAATTCAGCTCTATTCCAGTCCCTGGTGCTCTTTTTCTCCTTAAAATTTTCATTTTGTAATTTACCCTGCTCAGCTTGCTCCTTTTCATTATGAATTTTCATTAAAGCTACCATTTAAAAAAAAATGACAGAGTGGCCGGGCGGTGGTGGCGCATGCCTTTAATCCCAGCACTCGGGAGGCAGAGGCAGGTGGATCTCTGTGAGTTTGAGGCCAGCCTGGGCTACAGAGTGAGTTCCAGGAAAGGTGCAAAGCTACATAGAGAAACCCTGTCTCGAAAAAACCAAAAAAAAAAAAAAAAAAATGACAGAGTCTATACTAGTAGGCTGTTTTGAGATTTCCTCTGCCAAGGGAATTAAATTAAAAATTCTTCACTTTAGCCTCAGGCAGACTCTTTGTACAAAGGCAAAAGACAGTCACTTTCTTCACCAAAATATCACAAGAACGATCCGTAGGCAACATACTAAACTCCTCTGAAACCTCTTGAGGAAGGCCCCTGCAGTTCAAATAACTCTTAGCACCTCTGTCTTCCATGCTCCTACTAGTATGGCCCTGAAGTAGTGCTTAAGGCATGTCACTGCTTTCTAAACTCACAGTCCAAATTCCTCCAAACACACCCATGGTCGGGCCTGTCAGAGCAATACCTGACTCCTGGTACCAACTTCTATCTTAAGGTTTCTATTGCTGTGAAGAGACACCATGACCACATGACCACGGCAACTCTTATAAAGAAAACATTTAATTGAGGCTGGCTCACAGTTTCAGAGGTTCAGTCAGCTATCGTCATGGTGGGGAGCATGGTGGCATGCAGGCAGACATGGTACTGGAGAAATAGCCAAGCGTTCTACATCTTGCAGGCAACAAGAAGTCCAACTGACAGTCACACTGAGGGAAGCTTGGGCAAAAAGAGACCTCAAAGCCCGCCCCCATAGTGACACACTTCCTCTAACAAGGCCACACCTCCTAATAGTGCCACTCCCTTTGGGGACCATTTCTTTCAAACCACCACATCCTCCATCTTTTCTACTGTCAACTTGTAAGGCCTAAAGTAGGAGCCAGTGCATCTGTAAGGTTCCACCCAAATTTCCCATGTTAAGAGCTTCCTTCTCACTGGGCATGGTGGTTCATACTTTTAATTCTAGCACTCAGGGAGGCAGAGACAGGAGGATCTCTGTGAGTCAAGGCCTAGTCTGTATAACAAGGTCCAGGCCATACAGGGTTACACAGTGAGTTCCTGTCTAGACAGACAGACAGACAAACAAACAAACAAACTCTCTTCTGAGGGCTTCAATCCTGCTCAGTTTGGTGGTTCAAGTTTGTACTCTTTGCTACTTGAGAGGTTGAAGCTGGAGGATTTTAAGTTCAAGGCTAGCATGGCCAACTTAGCAGGTCCCTGTCTTAAAATTAAGAAGGGCCAGGCTATACCTCATTAGAAGAGTGCTTAGCATGCAGAAAACCTCGGAAAGGAAACCAGGACTGGAAAAAATGAAGTCTCTTGCCCCCAACATATCTAACCCTTTCTCTAGCTTTGAAGAACATCTGATGAGCTACAGATTTTATTAGGATGTGTAAATGATGCTTAATTTGGAGCAGCAGTGTGTCTGTCTAGGGAGTTACGGGTATTATCCCAGGAGGTTGAAGCCGATTACAATGTTCAGGCCAAAAAAGACAAGACACATCCTGGGTGAGAAGAAACCCCTGGCTCATCGTACAGCCTGCCTGCCCATGTTTCTTTGCACCTCATTTCTCTGTCTATAAAAGCCATTTCATCTGCCTGAGCTCCCAGGATAGTCTATCATGGCCTTCTCAGAGCTTCAGCCCTGGAAGAAACCTGATTTCCTTCTCACCAAGTTCTTGTCTCCCAAGTACTGGCTTCTGAGAGGTGAACATACTCAGTCTTGGAATAGAAACCACATGACAAGGCCCAGACAGGATGGGGTATGCCTGTAATTCCAGCAGCTGGGAAGTGGAGGGTTGATTGTCTGACACCAGCTTTTCTATGGCAAGTTCCTCTGGGATAAAACAGTCCATCTTAGAAGGAAGGTCCAGACTGGAGGGGAGTTTACTAAGAGGCAGGATATGAAAAGTGAGGCAAAACAAAAGGATGTTCTGAGTCAGTGGTTCTTAAGCTCCTAAATGCTGTGACCCTTTAATATAGTTCTTCATGCTGTGGTGACCCCCAGTCATAAAATGATCTCCCTTGCTACTTCATAACTGTAATTTTATTTGTTATGAATTGCAGTGTAAATATCTGTGTTTTCTGACGACCTTAGGCGCCCCTATGAAAGGGTTGCTACCCACAGGTTGAGAAATGCTGTTCTAAGTAGAAGCGAAACATTCTATCCTATAGGGAAGCTTTTTTTGTTGTTTTTGTTTTTTCAAGACGGAGTTTCTCTGTGTAGCCCTGGCTGTCCTAGAACTCCCTCTGAAGACCAGGCAGACCTCAAACTCACAGGGATCCACCTGCATCTGCCTCCTGAATGCTGGGATTAAAGGTGTGCACCACCACCGGCCGGCTATAGGGAAGCTTAGGCCCCAAAGGTAAATAATTCAAAAGCTCCAGGAAGTCCCTGAAACTGACGAGGTTCACTAGGCCTCTCCCTCCTCAAGCATATATGAACTATATGGACTGCATCACTACCCATTAGTGGTATGGAATTAAAATCACAAATACCATGGTAAGTCCATGAAAATAAATCTGCTCGTGAAAAAAACTGGCAATTCCAAATGTTGGTGAGCACACAGCAGTGGAGAGTGGCAACACTGCTGATAAGAAGGCAAGAACGAATCTCCTGTTGTCATGTGACCAAGTGGTTCCACCCCTGGAGAGAGGAAGCTGCACGCTACGGAGTCCTGTATGTCAATGTCTAACGCAGCTTTGTTCATGATGGCTCAAATCCAGAAACTACTAAAATATAAACAAATTATGCTACAGTCATATAATGGACTGTGACTCAGAAATATACATTATATATAACTCTTACATACACGGTTGCCATATAGATGAATATAGATGAAAAGAATTACCACAAGTGAAAGAAGCCAGCCTCAGAAATGTGCATGTGCATGATTCTATTTGTATAATATTCTGAGAAGGAAAACTAGAGACAGAGACTTGCTAGTGGCCAGGCCAGGGAGAAGGCATGGGCTATGACGAGGCATGAGCGAATATTTTGGAGTGATAGAAATTCTGCATATCTCGATGTCATGGTGGTCAAAACTTAAATAATTATAACTTAAGAAGAATGTGTTTCATTGTGTATAAATTATCTCTATAAACTGGAACAGAGAATGTTATAGCATACTAATGAGTCATGAAATCAATACAGGAAGAGGGCTGTGACCAGTTACATCTATTGCTATGAGATTTCTGTTTCAGTTATGTGTGTGCACTTGATCATAAAGTGAGACACTGGCATGCTGGGTGCTTTAATTAAAACCAGAATTACGGTAGGGAAAATAAAAGAAAAAGCTCCGTTCTTTGAAGGTGAGAACTGAATCCCTGAAATAAACTGTCAGTAGAGAGGTTCATAGGAGGAAAAACAAGTAAATGCAAGTACCACAGATAGACCCCAAAGAAGGGCTAGATTACTGAAGTCTACACAGTACCCCAAGTAACCGACAAGAATGGGGCGGTCGGCTTGCCACACAAGTTTTGTGTGTGGGAAGATGCTTAGATGGTAAAGAATGATTATCTCAGTTAATAAAAGCTGTCTAGAGCTATCCCCAGAAGAATGGGTGACAACCTGTGATAAAATTTGTTTGGGCACTGGGAATGGTATTTCTTCGTCTATTCTGTGATTCAGTTCATCTTTCAGGTTGAGGAGCCAACAGCTAGGGAGCTATTCAAGGCAATTCTCAGTCTTTGGTCATGTAAGGAACCTTCAGAGAAAGCCCCTTCCTGCACCTGGAAGAAGAGCTAAGAGCCAGAAGGGCAGGGGGTCACAGAGGCTTTGGTTTTCTTTTAATTCAAAGCACTCAGCATGCCATGTCACACTTTGGGGAATCATTTTCTGAGCCCCCTAGCCCTTTGAGAATGACAGGACTCATGTCTACATAGTCTCTTTTTAGCACACAGTAGGTCCAGGTGGACTGATATAGTAAGAACTATGCATCCTGGTCCTGTCTCTCGGTCTAGGCCAGAGTTCTAAAGTGCTCATTATTTCCTTTTGGTGTATTACTGATCTTGCCCCGACTCCTGAAATACACATGAAAGGGGCATCTTCCGTTAATCTTAGCAAGCCCTGTCACCACAGTGGGTTTATGTCAACAGCTGACGTCTGGGCAGCCCTTAAGGATAGCGGCTGGTTGCCAGGGAAACCAGCTATAGAGGGTTGAACTTTCACCCTCACCTTCCAGCAGGGACTGGAGAGCGACAATCACCAAGGCCAAATGATTTAGTCAGCATGTTCACATAATGAGGCCTCCACAAACACCCAACAGCAGATTCTGAGTCAGTGAACCCAAGGAGATACCAGGTGAACGGGCACCTGGAGGGAATGAAGCTGCCGGCCTTTATTCCTTGTCCATACCCGGCCATGTGCACTTCTTCCTCTGGCCTCTTCTGAATTATCCTTCTACAACAAGCTAAGAGTCTACTAAGCAGACTGTCTTCATGAATTTTGCAGGCCATTCTTACAGAGTGAGTTCCAGGACAACAGCCAGGGCTACACAGAAAAACCCTGTCTTGAAAAACTAATACATAGATAGATAGATAGATAGATAGATAGATAGATAGATAGATAGATAGATAGACAGACAGACAGACAGACAGATAGATAGACAGATAGATAGATAGATAGATGTTACCTTGGTCATGGTTCCTCTTCATAGCAGTAGAACAGTGACTAAGATGGAGGTAGGGATGTAACTCAGTGGTAGAGTACTTGCCTGGCAGGTGAGGCCCTGGGTTCAGAAAGTGGTGCTTATGGGCTGAGTTGTACAGCTCAGGAGCATCTCCCAAATACATGCAGCCCTGGTTTCCATGCCTAGCACTACAGATAGACAAAACTGGTAAGGAGAGCCATAAGCAACAGAAGGCGTTAATAGCCTCAAAAAGTCTGAAACCTCTTGAAGCATCTTGTTCAAATACTGCTCTGCAGCCTGCTTGGCAAGCCAGAGGCCGCCACCTGTTGTTGGGTCTCACTTAACACTCGGTAGCTCTTTACTCATTTAATTCACTGCTTTCATTGTTGGTGGTGGGGATCAATCTATGATCCCATGCATGTTAGGCACACATTCTATCACTGAGCTACATCCCCAGCATTCATATACATATATTTTTTTTCTGTTTTGTTTTGTTTTTTGTTTTATTTGTTTATTCGAGACAGGGTTTCTCTGTGTAGCCCTAGTTGTCTTGGAACTCACTCTGTAGACCAGGCTGGCCTTGAACTCACAGAGATCCTCCTCCCTTCCAAGTGCAGGGATTAAAGGCGTGTGCCACCACTGCCTGGCTTATATATTTATTTTTGTATTGTGGGAGATAAAACCCATGACTGTGGGAATGTGAGAAAGTCTCACTACTGTGCTATATCCTACTTTAATAATGTTATATAGAAAAGCAGAAGGAATGGGTCTGTGGGTTCAATGCTTTCCTCCATGCCTTTACAAGCACACCTTGAGGTGGTCCAGGACACGCCACCTTCAGATACGACCACATGAAGCCAGAATACGCCACGTTCCCTTTGGTATATTGATTGTTTAGTTATTTTGAGAAAGTACAGACACAGGAGCAGCTCTGGACAGATGCACTTGGAGGAAGAGAACTTGCAATCACAAAAGAAACTCATTAGGAAGAGAGCTACTCGGAGATGGCTACTGTCACCTGAGACTTTCATCTGTATCATCTGTATAAGAAGACAACCCATATTCACTACACACTTCCTTCCCCCACTCTCCCACAATTCCCCACCACTGTCAGAAGCTCGAGCTCATCTTCCTCTCTCTAGCTCAGGATGCTGTATAAACTTAATCACAAATTCTTTGAGCCTCCTATCTGTGGTACGCACACCAAATGTGTACACGCTAAGCAAAATGGGCTTTCTCCTGCTCTGCTTTAGCTCCCCTAGGCATCAAATACCCACTTTTCTTTCCTACTATTACCCTCTCCAGTTTGTACATGAGGGAAACTGAGGCTCAGAGAGGGCAAGACATGCTCAAGGTCACATATCCAGTCAGTGGAGAAGCTGAGATCTGAATCCAATGCTGAATCTTACACCTCTGCTCATTTCCTTCTGTCACGGAACCCCAGTGTGCAAGGAAAGCAAGAGATGCCCACATCATCATGCTCTGTGTAGACCAGCTTGGAGCTCTGCCCACTCACACCTGAGGATAGGGGAACAAAACCCCAGGATGACAAGATGACAAACAGCTCCCGCACAGTGCAGATCCCCTGAACAATCAAAACCTCTCTATAGCAACCCAGGACTGAAAAAGCAACATGCAAAAACCAGGTCTTTAAAGGCCAGATTCAAAAGGTAAATGAGGATGCAAACTGAATCAGGAAATACAAGTTCCAAACCATAGCCTCTGTGTGTGAATGAACAGTTCTCTCATGAAGGTATCCCCGGCCACTTAAAACACAGGAAACAAACAAACAAACAAACAAACAAACAAACAAACAAACAAACACCCTCAAACATCCAGCCTCTCTCCCTCTCTGGGTAAACCACAGGCACCAAACCAGGAGATGGTAGCTCCTTGATCCACTTGACAGGGCAGTGGGGCCAGGGTGCCCCACCTGGCTCTGTGGGAAGGAGCAATTTTAGTCCAAGGCCTGAAAATCATCATCTGCAACCTTTAATTAAGACCCCCAAAATAGAAATCTTTGAGATGTTCCATAAGAGCTGTGGCCTGCAATCCTCAGTCCTTGCAGGCTCCAGGAGGGTAGGTGTGTTAAATAGAGCGGCCTCTTTAAGCTCCAAAACACTACATCAAGGGAAAGCATTACCTCCACTTTACAAAGGGGAAACTGAGGCTGAGGAGATTAGATAGCTTGCCCAAAGCAGTGGCAGGCTGTGTGTCAAGGCCACTTTGTCAGCAGGGTGTGCATGCTGCAGCCTTTGGGAGTGAAGGCCTTTGCCATAACTACCACCTCAACTTGATTCTGATCCGTATGCCAGGGGCCAGAGAGTGACTATTTCTTGAGGGAACTATGACATGCTCAGAGCCATGTGAGGCATTTTCCTGAAGATTATTTCATTAAGATGGCACAACGGCAGTATGATTATCATCCTGGTTCTAGAATTATAAAAGCAAAGCCCAGAACAGTGAAGACAGCTAGCTACTTAAGGCCACATACTGAGAGGAGGCTGGGCCAGATCTCCAAATGAGGACTCGTGAGCCTGTGCCCTGGCCCATACCAGAAGCCACAGCGTTTTGGTAAGGAGCAGAGACAGAATCTGAATAAGGCTTGCGATGCTTCTGAGAGGAAAACAAAAACCGACTGGTGCTAGAGATCGAACCAGGCCCCTGTCAGCGGGGGGCAAGTGCTGTACCACTGAGACACTGAGCCCCAAGCAAAAGACAGTACGGTTGTCCTAAAAGAATAATAGGGGCTAGAGATGGGGGGCCTTTTATGCGCTATCAGTGAGGACCAACTGTTGCAACAACCATAAACCTACTAAGCAATAATCCCTCTCCCTTCTCCGCTTCCTTCACTCAGCCTAGAAATGATCTATAATCTATGAGCACACCTGCATGGGTCTTTCTAGATAGCTCCAACAAGAAGAAACAAGAAACATTTCCTGGAGAAATGAATGGTTCCTGGATTTTTTTAAGGGAAAGTTCCAGGTGAGTCTGGAACTTCTTTGGCCAGATAACAAAGACCAAAGACTAGTAAGTCTAAGTCAGAAGAATATAGGAGCTGCCCTCAAGGACAAGTTTGGGATAATTTGAGTATCATAATCATAATGATAATAGATTTTAGCACACTGAAGTTTTTAATGGGTCCGTAATATTACTGCAAAAAGAGAAAAAGAGGTGAGGAGGGAAGAGGGAGTGAGAAGAAGGGGTGAGGAGGGAAGAGGGAGTGAGAAAAAGGGGTGAGGAGGGAAGAGGGAGTGAGAAGAAGGGGTGAGGAGGGAAGAGGGAGTGAGAAAAAGGGGTGAGGAGGGAAGAGGGAGTGAGAAGAAGGGGTGAGGAGGGAAGAGGGAGTGAGAAAAAGGGGTGAGGAGGGAAGAGGGAGTGACAAAGAAGAAAATGTTTTTCTAAAGGAAGGAAGAGCAGGCGGGTGGGCGGGCCTGGTGCCAGTCTCAGTTTCTCTTCCTGTTGCTGATAAAATGTCCTGACCAAAAGAACCAACGGGGGAGCTTATTCCAGATCCTGGTTCAAGGTGCAGCCCGGCACGCAGGGCGTCAAGGGCAGCAGGGGCTTGCCGCACAAACACGTGGTCACACTGCATCCATAGTCAAGAAACACAGGGCAACGAACACCCATTGCTGCTCATCGCCTTCCTCCATTTGTACAGTAAGGGAACGGTCCCACCCACTATTAAGATGGGTCTTGTGGCTGGATGTAGTGGCACTTGGGAGGCAGAGGCAGGCAGATCTCTGAGTTCCAGGCCAGCCTGGTCTACAGAGTGAGTTCCAGGGCCACTAGGGCTACATAGTGAGACCCTATCTTGAAAAAACTAAAAGATGGGTCTTGTGGTGGTCAACAGGCTCAGGTGCTTGAATGCTTGGTCTCCAGTTGGTGGTGGTGTTTGGGTAGGTTTAGGAGGTGTGGCCTTGCTGGAGGAAGTATGTCACTGGGGGCGGGCTTTGAGGTTTTAAGAGCCGTGTACCATTCTCAGTCTGCTCTCTGCTTCCTCCTTGCAGTTCGAGATGTGAGATCTCAGCTGTCCCTAATGCCAAGATGGACTCATCCCTCTGGATAAGCTCAAACAAATTCTTCTTTAAGTTGCCTTGGTCACAATTAAAATAATCAAGATAATCTCCCATTGTTAACATTCAGACCTGCCCCTTGGGGGCCTAGCCAATACTCAGGCAATACCTTGGCCTACTCAGGATCCTGACAACGTCATGTGCTCATTGCTATGGGGTCTCTCTGTGCATGTGTGACTTCCCCTCATAAAGAGGCGGGGGGGGGGGGGGGCGGGGAGCATCCCCTTCAATGTTACAATGTTACAATTTGGGCAAAGATCATCAATGGATGTGGCATGGAAGGAACATACTGTCTAGAGCAGTGGGTCTCAACTATCCTAATGCCGTGACCCTTTAATACAGTTCCTCATTTGTGGTGACCCCCAACTATAAAATTATTTTCATTGCTACTTCATAACTGTAATTTTGCTACTGTTATGAATCCTAATGTAAATATGTGTTTTCCAATGGTCTTAGGTGACCCCATGAAAGGGTCATTCGACCCAAAGGGGTCAAGACCCACAGCTGAGAACCACTGGTCTAGGGAATTGTTACGGACATTTTCCCTGCAATCATGGAGACATCATGCTGTCCTATTAACTACTAACCAAATGCTCATGGAGGCCCCTGATACCTGCCTTCTAGAGTGATGGAATCCGAAGTACACATTACCAAAAAGCCAGAAAAAAAAAATAGCCAGGATCTAATCATTAAAGGACTAATCAAATATACATAAAAGGTAAGACAGCTCTTTTCAGATTACATAATTTGCTCAAAGAGATGCAACTAAAGATTTTTGGTGAAAACCAATCTGGAAAAATTTTAATACCAAGTGCTAATTTGGTAACTATTATGTAGAAGAACGTCACTATTAGGATGGAGATAGATATAGATATAGATATATAGATATAGATATATAGATATATAAAAATTAGGAAAACTTTCTTTTTTCTAGACAAGGTCTAGAAAAGAACCCAGGCTGGCCTAGAAGCGATCTTCCTGCTCAGTGTCCCAAATGCTGGGATCACAGGCATGTGCCACCCTGCCTGGCTACGACAGTCACATTCCCTTCCTCCTCGTCTCACTCACTCTTTCCATGTCTCTCTCCTTTTGTGCGACAGGTCTTCCTAATGCTGCCCTGCCTTAGCTGGTCTGGAGCTCCAGGTTCAAGTGATGCTCTTGCCTCAGTCTCCGGAGTAGCTTGGACTATAGGGACAAACCACCAAGCCTGGCTTGTAAGTTAAAGTAGCTGGGAGATATGTGTACAGGTCTGTGTGAAGACAGATGTGGCCAAGCCTGAATAGGTGAACGCAGGCTGACCTGGAATTTATAATAGGCGTGGCATTTGGAGGCTAAGATAGTCAACTAGGTCTAGAGTTGGGGAAGTTTCTGAGTGGGAGGTCCTTCTAGATGGACCTGTGGGAGATGTTCCACGGGAACAGCCTGCCTATCTTCCACGCTTCCATGGCTGCCTGGGCCTTGTTTCTGCCTCTTCCTCCTGAGCTGCTGTTAGATGGCAGGAAAGGAAACTCCTGCTGGTTCATATGAGAGCTACTTCTACAGCCCAGGTGTGCTGAGCACAGGTGGAAAGAACCAGTGGGGCTTTCTGGGGTAAGTATATGGTTTTGGTCAGTGTTTGCTGTAGGCTCTGCCCTATACTAGCTGTAGAGCCTGTGACCAATTCCCAGGGAAGATGATGGTGGTCATGAAAACCATTAATAGTAATAATAAGGGTTACAGCTGACTCAGCAGTTCCAACAGGGCTAGCTATTCAACATGCTAATCTCTACTAATCTCATAGGTGAAGCAGGCACATTCTCTCTCTTTTTTTGTTTTTCAAGACAGGGTTTCTCTGTGTAGCCCCATCTGTCCTGGAACTCAAGAGATCCACCTGCCTCTGCCTCCTGAATGCTGGGATTAAAGGCGTGTGCCACCATTGCCTGGAGAAATAGATACTCTTGTAGCTCTGCTTTATAGACCAGCCATGGCAGGCCGTTTCCTTCCTCTGCAACTTGGCTTCTGTCATCCCCTGTGCCGGGAACTGAGCTGCCAGGCCTCACATGTGGAATTCCTAGCGTCCTCTTCTTTGACTCCTAGCATTTTATGCTCATTCATTGGCACACCTAACCTAAGCTATTAGATAGATGCCTGGTCTCCCTGTCGGGGCTGGGAAACCCCTCTCTATCCCCAGAAACAGGCTGGGCAGGGGGCAGGAAGACTTTTTTTTTTTAACCTCATTTAGTTTGAACCATTTTCACCTTACCCGACAGAACTCTGGAATCAAAGTCCTAAGACGAGGTCTCACTGACTGCTGGGCTGTAAAGGCAATAAAGGTTGCCATTGTGTAGTGGATCGGTCAGAGCACTGGGTAAATTTCAAAGTGAGTAATGCCTTCCAATCAACCAGCAACTTCCCCACCTAACCCAGTTAGATCACCAGGATAAGGACTCTGGCTCAGAGCCCCGCGGACTTCACCTTCACCCCCTCACGCCCAACAGCTGTATCTTTAGTCCTCTTGCCCTGTCCTACCTCTAAGAGGCCTACAGGCTGCTCCACAGGACCAACTTAGCAAGAGAGTAAAGGTATTTTCTGGACTCAGTTCACACACGGGACCCTGGAATTTGTGACCAACAGGGCAGAGGGAGGAAAGTGGGCTGGAAGAAGAAACCACCCAGCCAGATGCAATTTCCCTGCTTGCACAGAAATGCTTTGTCAAAGATGGTGCAGACTCCCCACAACCACCCTTCATCCTCACGCAGAACTTTCCTTAGCCATCTTGGCTAACTCTCCTGGTTCGTCCAGTAACCACTTCCTTTCAAGCATTCTCTTCCTGTGATCTCCCCACACCTCCCATCAGTGATAATGATAAACAAAGGGCTTTCAAATCCCTCCAGCCTTAAGACACCACAGGGGGGTTGCCTTATAGTTTGTTGGTTGGAGGAGTTGAGGGAACTGGTCCTGAAGCACAACTTTGGAAGGGTAGGGTATCAGAATATTTATTTCTTCTCTACACTACCCCGGACCAAACCCGTTTTCCCGGCCTGCGGAGAAAAAGGCAGGGTCTTTGAAGGCGTTTATGGCAAGTTACTTATCATCCGTGCTCCTCAATTGGAAACAAATATGGTGAGGCCTTTGCAGGATGCAAGAGGAGAATGAGTTTTGTGTGTGACGCACTGAGCTCCAAGGATGGGCTCTTTATTTCTAGTCACACGGAAAGAACGGTCCTGTGTCCATCCACAGGCCCTGGCCCACTGCTCAACTACACGCCCTGGGTTCGCCAGAGCTGGGAGGGGTCCCTGTCATCCCTGTGGTTCGCCCTGCGCCCCTCCACCTAACCCAGCACCCATTCCTCAGCTCAGGAGCACGACCCCTCTGATCAGACAGGATGCCCCTTCTCATCTAGAGACCCCGCCCCTCTTCCCATCCACCAAAGGCTCCTCCCACAGCGCACCCCTCCCCAGCCCCGCCTCTCTGGTAGCTCTGTCCACCCCCCCACCTCGAAACGCGCCCCTCCCCCGCGGCCAAGGGCGGGGCTACCCCACTTCACTGATGAGAACAGCGAGGCTGCGACAGATGACATTTCACGGCAGGACAGGTGCCCCGAGGGCCCCATTATGCATCTGCTGGGTCCCGAGCTCCCCCTCACCCCAGCGCACCTCACCCACCTCCAGCCCTCGCTCCGCAGCCTCCCCTCCAGCCAGCGCAGCTTCGCTAGGGGGCGGGCCGGGCGGGGGCAGGGGCGGGGCGTCCCGGACCGCGCGCTGGCCGCCGGGACTTGTAGTCTCCTTGTTGAACTTCGCCGCGCCGGGCGCCCTGCCCGGACTCCATCTCCCAGGAGTCAACGCAGAAAGCCAGCCCGCTACTGGCCCGCCCCACCCGCACTCGGGCCAGCTGGCCTTAAAGGGAACACGGCCCGACTGGCAGCTCGCGGGGTAGCCCCCGCTCTGGCTCCGCCCAGTTTCCCGCACCTCGCCCCTCCCCCCCCCCGCTCCGTCCCGCAGCCCCAGCGACCGCGCAGCAGAGTTTCACTGCCCGGGTCCATCTAGGGCTATGCGGAGCGGGGTGGGTGGAGTTGGACATGACTGTGGCAGCAGCATCCCTCAGGTCTGGGACCCCTCTGTAGGGGAGCGGAGGACCCGCCCTGACCTAGCCTGGCCCAGCCTAGTCAAGCCTGGCCCAAGCGCCCCGCCCAGGAGTGGGTTCTGAGGTAAGGCCCGCTGAAGTCCGTGAGGTAAGGGGGCCCTGGGTGTGAGTGCTGGTGGCAGGGGGTGGTGGTGGGGGGGGACAGAGAGTGTTTCAAGGACCCCATACTTACCTACAGGGTTCTGAGAGCACGAGATTGGGAGGTGGGAGGTCTAGGTTCTTCTGGGCCTTGCTGTGTGACCTTGGGCTAGTACTGCCCCTCTCTGAGCCTTAACCATCTTCATCAACTGAATATAGCAGAGGTGGTCCAGCTCCTGCCCCACTCAGTACTGAGAGCACACATACCTAGTACCACGGAGCCTGGCAATGTTTTTGTGGAGAAACCCCAGTCCCAATCTGGGCTGGGCAGGGGTGCGGAGGCATAAGGAAGGGAGAGAGAGGGTCCAACGGGACTACAAACCGAGGATCCAGAGACTGTCTGGTGGTCTTAGCTTCCCGGAATCTGGGACCCTTGACAACCCTTGCAGATTGGAGAGCCGAAGCTTAAGCTCGAGTCTTCCCTCCCAGAAAGTCTGGGTTGGGAGTGGGGGCTGGGTCAGCAGAGGTTAGTGAGGGGTAGTTCTGTAGGCAGGGGTGAGCCAATCCCAGAGGCGGAACAATGGCCCTGTCACCTTCCCTTCCTCTCATTCCTCTTCAGTGATAGGGCACAGCAAAACCCTCGCTCAGGACCCAGCTCGGGGGCCAGACAAGGCCTCCTAGAGGGAAGGGTGCCATCCGGATCTGCCTGTCAGACACTAAGTTAAAAAGCTGACATTCTGCAGCTCAGAGACCCCAGGGACAAACGGTGCCCCCAGGAAGCCCTGGCACCCATGGGAGTCAAGGTGTGGGGGAATGAATCCCCCCAACCCCTAGCACAGGGCAGGGACCTACAGACCCACCCTCCCCCTTTTGAGGAGATCTGGGAAGAGCTGACCTAGGGCTAACCAGGAACAGGGTTTTTATTCTGCTTTTCTGCCTTGCTTGTGTGGATCATTTCTGGAGTGGCTAAGGAGGCCTCGGTGGGGTGTCTCACAGATGTTCAAGGGTTGTGGATATTAGAGACCAGGCCCAGGCAGAGGAGGGGCAGGGGTTGTACTCAAGGTTAAGCCTGTCTCTGGAAGCGACTTTTCTGCTCACATCCTGGATTTTACCTCGTCTTGCTGTCACAGGTCTCTCTCATCAATAGCTAGGCACCCCTTCATGGCCACCTCTGTGCTTGGGCACACTCCCATCCTGGGCACTGCATACAGAACAGGATTGGATCTACTTCCTACAGCATCAGACCCTAGCCAGGTGGGTGAGAGAGAGTGCTGGAGCCAGTTAGACTGCAGAGCACGAAGGAGCCAAGGCGGCCGTGGAGCCGGGGCTCAGAGACTCGCCCTGTGGAGGGACAAGGAACGGCCTGCAAGCTGGACATTGCAGGATGAGTCAGAACTAGCCAGGAGAGAAGAGGCAAAGCCTTTCCCACAGAGAGGACACCAGGGGAAAAATAAAACACAGATCCTTCTCCAGTTCCCATTGGTGGCCCCATCAGTGTCATGTGATGAAGTCAGCCCCAGTGCCGGGCTTTCGAGTGTGGGCTTTGTCCCAGGGGGCTGGTGGCCTTGAGGTTCTGAGTAGCCAGGCAAGGGGGAACTTTTCAGAAATGAGGTTGATATGAGGGCATTGCTGAGAGAGTTGGGACCAAAGAGAGGCTGAGGAGGTGATGAAGGCTGAGCTGATCACTCGAGGCCTCAGTCTCTTTGTCCCTCTCCACAGACCCCCAGGTGATGATAGAGAAGAGCCAGGTTCCCCCAAGCAGAAGCAGGGAACTGTCAGCACACAGCTGGAATGCCAAGGGTTTTATTCACGAGGGACAGATGAAGGCTCAGGGCCTTCTGGGAGGGGTGTTGCTTCTCCCAGGTGCCCTGGAGCATACATACAGAAAGTGCCTGGACACCCAGGTTGACAGGCTGGCAGTGTGAGGGCACAAGCCCAGGGCTTGGGCAAGGGCATCAGCCCTGGCTGGGAAAGGCCAAGAAGTAAGTGGCCAGTCATCTTCCATCTGGGTCTCAGAGGCTGGGAGGTGAAGGAGTCGATTCCTCTATAACCAAGGCCATCATGGTGGCTGTGTCCGGCTAAGTTAGAAACCCGGACTGCTGCCCTCCAGGACTTGTGCCTTTTGTGGAGGATGGATCAAATGAGGGAATGAGGTTTAGAGAACTATACTGCCCTAGTGCAGGCAGGGGATAAAGAGGAGCTGATGCTGGGGGAGAGTGGAAACAGTTGAACTGAGGGAATTCCTAGAGGCAGCTGGCAGTGAGCGCTGGCCTCCTTCCCCTCATAGTGTGTGTGCCCTCCATGACAGAGGGCCAATAAGAGACTCATGTCTGCCCAAGCCACCATTTTTTTTTTTTTTTAAAACACTGGCCCAACCCTAGGAGTGGCAGATGCAGAACAGTTCCCATTTTCCAGCGAGAAAGCTGAGGCGCTAGAAGGAGCTTGCCCCAGGTGAGCCTGTGGTTCTGAGCGGAAGCCTTGGACCTGTCTTTGGAAGGGAGGAGGGCTGCTGTACTTGGTGTGGAACAGCTGGCTGGACTCAGAGCCAGTGTGGACCAGCCGCCCCTTCTGGGTAACCCAGCCTCCTCCTCCGAGAGAGGTGGCCAGCAGCTTCTTCCGGGAGGGGAAGAATGACAGCTGATTCTGCTGTGTCGTGGAAATGTGTCCCCACTACCCCCTACTCCTGCCCTCCCTCTCTGGCCTGCGATTGGAGTCAGGCGAAGTCAAAACCTCTAAAGCTCTTGTGCATGAATGCATCCAAGATATCACGGAGTGGGTTTACTGGTAACCATGGTGACAGCTGACCCGACTGCTTGCGTAGGCGTTGGCGCAGGTAGCAAGCCTTGTGCTTTGTGGAGAGGCCAAAGACTGAGGAAGGCTGGCTTTGGTGATTGGAACTTTGGGTGGTCCTGATGGGCGGGGCTTCCAGCTGCCACGTGCAGCCCACCCGATGTAGTGTTAGGTAAACCGGCAGGGAACTGCTGCGGGTCTTTGATCGTTCGGTTTCTGTGGTTTAATCTCATGCCATCTATCCCCATTTTTAAAACGAGAAAAGCAGCCCATATATATGCCTTACTCAAGGTCACACAGTGCAGATCTCCATTTCTACTTTAATATTTTAAATCGTCTTATAGAACCTTCTCTGGCTCCAGAATTCCATTTGTGCCTGCCCTATGCCCTTGCCCTCTATACATGATGCCAAAGTCTCATTGATTAAGGTTTCTTCTTAGCAGTGTGCATGCTGGGCTTTCTTGGCAGCCCGGGTTAAAAAGCATGACCCACCCACTAGTCTCCACGGCAGAGGAGGTTGATGACAGCAACTGCCTTGTCCTAGGTCCTGGCTAAGAAAGAGGGCCCAGGGTGACATGGTGGTGGGGGTGCCACTCTATTTCTTGTTAATTCTTTGTGTGGTGCTGGGGATCCAGCTCTTGGCACCCCAACCTCAAGGCTAGTCTTTCAAGGCCCGCGGACCGCCCTTTGCGCTGCCTGTTGCTCTCTCTACACATCTGCTTCCTCCACTAGGCTCTCGGGCGCCTCCTTAAGGCCCCCGGACTTTGCTTCCGAGGCAGTGGGAGCTGATGTCTTTTGAGAGTTTCCTCACATCCAGCACCATGCTAAGGGCGTCTTGTGCCTTTTCATAACTCCTTCCAACCAGTGGGAGGTTCAAGGGGCAGAGTAATGAGACTCAGGTTCACCTGGGCTGCAGAGGAAAACCCCATCTAAAAACAAACAAACAAACCGAAAACAAACAAAAACCCCAAGAAGCCAGGCATGGTAATTCATGCCTGTAATTTGAGCACTTGAAAGGCGAAAGCAGGAAGATCAGGAGTTCAAGACCGTCCATAGCTATTTAGTGAGTTTTAGGCCAGCCCGAGTCCCACAAGACTGTCTCAAAACAAAAATATCAAGCAGCTTAGATTTACATTTCAAACAACAGCAAAATATAAAAGGCAGAAGCAAGTGGCAGAATGGAAAAGGCAGCAAAGCAGTGCAGCTTAGGCTAATGTTAGTGCTTCCTAGGGTGCATGAGGCCCTCGGTTCAATTCCAGTACGTTCAAACAAATGAAGCTCCACAGTGAGATGCGAAGCGCACTTGTGCTAAAGGCTTGTTGACTCTGAGGCAGCCAGGCTAGCATTTGGGGGCCACTGAACTGGGCTGTGGTGTACCCTCCAACCAGTGAACTCCAAAGATTCGAACTTGGTGTGGGAGATGCCAGCCACTGAGAAGTAAGCTTGGTCCCTGTACCAGGGAGCTCACACCCTGAGACAGACTTAAACAAAGGGGCCCCTGGAAAGAGATATGCAGTGATGGTAGGGCGCAGTTCAGAGGGAGGACCCAGAAGTGTGCATCTCCATAGAGCCTTGTGTGTAGCTGGTTCCAGAACAGCTCAGGTTCTGAATCAGGTTTCTGGCCCATTGTCCAGGAAATGTTCGACTGTCTTCACCCAGCTTCAATGTGAAGCTTGAGTAATTTTGGGGGAGTAAATGAAGCATCTACTATATGTTGGGTTTTGCCTAGAGTAGGATTATGCAGAGAAAGAGCCCTGCCTTCTCTTAGGTGAGAGCTAGATAAGAAGTGAGCCAGCTGTACTATGAAACTGAGCCTGAGACTCTGGAGTTAGAATGGGTCAGTGTGGAGGAGTCCAGAGAACAGCCCAGGTGGAGGGCTTTTATGCCACAGGGCGGTAAGGACCTTACTCACCCAACACATGCCTACTGTGTGCGAGCCACTTGCCAGGTGCTGGGGAGACTGATAATCAAAACTTGACTTCAGGAACCATTTTTAATGTGGTGGGGAGGCTGATACCAGCCAAGTGCTGTAGAGGAGCTGGGCAGGATGTTCTGAGTGTTTAACCAGGAGGTCTGAAGCAGGTAGGAAGGTCAGGTGAGGCTTTTTTGGAGTGCCAGCCAAGTGTCTGACTTTTCTATTGCTGTGATAAAACACCATGACCAAGGCAACTTACAAAACAAAGTGTTTAATTCGGATTTACGGTTTCAGAGTGTTCAAGTCCACGATGGGTGAGCAAAGGCATCACATCATCTTGTTCAGCAAGCAGGAGGCAGAGAAAGCTAACTTGTGAAACCTCCCAGTGATGCACTACCCCCAACAAGACCGCACCTCCTACCTCTTCCTGAACAGTTCTTTCTATGGGGAATACATAGCCATGGCCATTCTCATTCAAACCGCCACACCAAGCAGGGAGAGGAGGGGGGTGGACAAAGAGCAGGGGCTGAGGCTGGAGAAGCAGGTAGGGCCCTGGGGGTGAAGGGCTGTGGAGCCAGGCTGGATGGGAGGGTCAGCGAAGGGCATCGGGATGACCCTAGCATTAAGTGTTGGCAGCTGTGAGAAGGGACCAGACTTAATCCTAATGTCTTCCAGTTGCTGTGGTAAAATACAGCCTAAGGGAGAAAGGATTTCTGGTGGCTCCCCGGGGAGGTATACCGCATCAGGGTGGGGTGGTCATGGGGCCGAACTTGAAGCAGCTGGTCGTCACTGCACACCCAGGACGATGACAGCAACGAGGACCGGTACTCAGGCCACTTTCTCCTCCTTATACGGTTGAGGGTCCCAACCCAGAGACTAGAGGGTGCGTCTTCCATCTCAAACCAATCCAGATAATCCCCCACAGTTGACCAGAGGCAGAAATCCCTCACTGGTGTGCCCAGAAGCTTGTCTCGCAGGTGATTCTAGGTCCTATCAAATTGATATACCATCCCCCACAAGGATGCTATTACAGACCGGGCGTGGGCTCACCTCGGACAGGTGTAGGCTTTTAGGAAAAGAAGTTTGCCCGGTGACTGGTAGTGGCAAGGGCTTAGAGACAGGATAAATCAGGCAAATGGCACAACACTCACCAAGAGGAGAACTTTGCAAACTTGTAGGTGATCTGAGAAAAGGGTCTTGGACGGGGCCCAGTCCCCTCACCTCCCCCCCCCCCCCCCCCCCCCGCCCTCCCGGTCCCGTGTGGCTTACTCAAGACTACTTACTGCTGCTCCCAGAGCCAACACTCACCTATTTCAAGAGTGTCTGTAGTCACCAGGGAGGCGAGGAGAAGGCGCCCAGCAGCCAGAGCTGGGACTCCCAGGGCTGGGCAGGTGCCATTCTGTTCTACTTCTTTGTGATAAAGATATTCGTGTTCCATTTTAGAGGCAAGCAAACCGAGGCCCCTCTGCAGCGTGAGCACCCAGGGATCTGGACCGGGTGTGTGTCAGAGCGCTGCCCTGCTCCCTGCCCCCAGCAGCGTGTGGCCGTCATGGACAAGATCCTGGAGGCCGTGGTGACTTCGTCCTACCCTGCGAGCGTGAAGCAAGGGCTGGTGCGGCGCGTGCTGGAGGCGGCGCGGCAGCCCCTGGAGCGGGAGCAGTGCCTGGCGCTGCTGGCCCTGGGCGCGCGCCTCTACGTGGGTGGCGCGGAGGAGCTGCCGCGCCGCGTGGGCTGCCAGCTGCTGCACGTGGCGGGGCGCCACCACCCCGACGTCTTCGCCGAGTTCTTCAGCGCGCGCCGCGTGCTGCGCCTGCTGCAGGGCGGTGCGGGGCCCCCGGGGGCGCGCGCGCTGGCCTGCGTGCAGCTGGGGCTGCAGCTGCTGCCCGACGGGCCCGCGGCCGACGAGGTGTTCGCGCTGCTGCGGCGCGAGGTGCTGCGCACCGTGTGCGAGCGTCCCGGGCCCGCCACCTGCGCGCAGGTCGCCCGCTTGCTGGCGCGCCACCCGCGCTGCGTACCCGACGGCGCGCACCGCCTGCTCTTCTGCCAGCAGCTGGTGCGCTGCCTGGGCCGCTTCCGCTGCCCTGCCGAGGGCGAGGAGGGCGCCGTGGAGTTCCTGGAGCAGGCCCAGCAGGTTAGCGGGCTCCTAGCTCAGCTCTGGCGAGCCCAGCCCGCCGCCATCCTGCCCTGCCTCAAGGAGCTGTTCGCTGTCATCTCCTGCACAGGTGCGTGGGCAGCCCCGGCTGGGGCGGGAACTCGGGCTGGCCCTGATGCGGGCACATACGGCGGACTGCGATGCTCATTTTTAGTGAGCAAATCTACCTTGGGCCTTTACTGTCGGTGTCATCCCATGATGGGGCTGGAAATGCCGGGAACACACCACGTGGGGCGGAGGATGAGATCCGTTTGGCAGGGCAGAATGGTGGGTCCTGGGCTTTGGGCCCCATGTGATATTTGCAAATCAGGAAGGCTCCTCTGGAGCCATTAGCATCTGGCAGCAGGGGAGCTTGCAGGCGATACCTAAATTCAGAATGTATCTTTAAAAAAATTTTATTTTTATTTCATGTGTATGAGTGTTCTACCTGTGTGTCTGGTGCCCGCTGAGGTCAGAATAGGGCACCGATCCCTGGAACTAGAGTTTAAGGACTTAAGTTGTAGAGTTGTGAGCCACCATGTGGATGCTGGGAACCGAACTCAGTCCTCTGCAAGAACAGCAAGAGTTCTTAGCCATTGAGCCGTTTCTCCAGCCCCTGAACTCTGGAATCTTGACGTCCAGTCGTCAGCAGAAGTGGATCTTAGATTCTAGTGTGGATGACTGAGCTGAGGTCTGTGATTTCCCTGATCGTAGGGCTGTACAGGGGGAAGGAGGGAAGAGCCAAGGCCAGCCTGTCTCCTATACAATTGCACAAGAGTTTGGCATTAAATGTGCCTTCTCACATCTCCACCTTTGTGTGGCTGCACCTGGAATGTTCTTTCCTCCCTAGGGTAGCTCCAGCATTAACTTTTCTGAAGGACTTTTTTTTTCTTTCTTTTCTTTTCTTTTCTTTTTTTTTTTTTTTTTTTGGGGGGGGGGACAGGGTTTCTCTGTGTAGCTTTGCACCTTTCCTGGAACTCACGCTGTAGCCCAGGCTGGCCTTGAACTCACAGAGATCTGCCTGCCTCTGCCTCTGCCCGGCTGAAGGGCTTTTCTTTACATGCACATTTGGGGCTTAGAGCTTCCTCTCGGTGTCAGCATATGCCAGCGAAGGGTTTTGAATGAATGAGTTACAATGGAATCAGAGACTTTGATGCTGTAGTGGGAGGGGAGGTGGCCCCATGTGTTATTTGCAGAGGCCCAGCCTAAGTAGTGGTGGCATGCGGGTGTGGAGAGCTCAGTCTAGCCCTGTTCCAGAGGAGGAGCCGCCGTCCAGCGCCTTGGCCAGTGTGGTCCAGCACCTCCCACTGGAGCTCATGGATGGTGTGGTCCGGAACCTCAGCAATGATGACAGTGTGACAGACTCCCAGATGCTGACTGCCATTAGCAGGTGGGTGCTGGGGGTAGTGGGTGGGGCGTGGGCTTTCCCCTCACTTTTCTCTGAAGCTCTTGACTCTGGGTGGGGACCCAGGCTATCTGTGGTCAGAGGCCAGGCCCTCATGCCTGTTTAATCATCTGTGACTTGTACAGTACTTCTCTGCTTGGCCTTGGGTTGGATGTAAAGGACACAATCCGGTACCAGTGATAACACCAGACTAGGTATTAGCGGGTGGCTCTGAACCCTTGGCCTCAGTTTCCCTCTCTATGAGAAGTAGATGTGCATGGTAGTATGAGAAGGTAAAAATGGGGCCTGAGGAGATGGCTCAGTGGCTAAGAATACTTGCCCCTGAGGACCTGAGTTCAAATACCCACCACCTGGCATGGCCATGCATACACATGACTTTAGTGATGATGACTTTAGTGTTGAGGAGGCAGAGATGGGCAAATCCTTGGGATTCGATGGGCAGTCACCTTCAGGCTCAGTGGGAGACCCTTAAGATGAGTAATAACAGAACACCTGCTGTCCATTAGATTCCATTCTGTAGGTGTGTGAGCACACACACTCATGAAGACTCACAGAGACATACACGGTGAAGGTAGTTTCTGGTGTGCTTTATGCGTCTGGAAAAGGCAAGAAGCCGAGTTTGGGTGCTTTTCCACTCCCTGAATCTGTGTACATTGCCCCTCATTTGAATGTTGTCACCCTGTGGACTAGCTTGACCTGCCTGCCTTGTGACCCCTGACCAGGCTGCCTGTGTTCCTCTCTCCAGGCCTTTGCCGGTGCAGACCCCATTTACCTGGCATGTCTCCCTCTGCTGTTCTTCCTGTACCCATGCACAGAGCACCCTCTCCATAGGGCTTTCCTGGATCCCCTGTCTTTAGTGGGTGAGAGTGTAGGCAAGAGGGGGGTGGGTAAGGATGCAGGCAGGAGGGTGGGTGCAGGAGTGGGGAGTGGGTAAGTGTAAACAGGGAGGTGGAGGGTAAGGGTGTAGGTAGAAAGGGGATGGGTAAGAGTGTAGGCTGGGGCTGGGCTGTGGTGGCACACGCCTTTAATCCCAGCACTCAGGAGGCAGAGGCAGGTGGATCTCTGTGAGTTTGAGACCAGCCTGGGCTACAGAGCGAGATCCAGGACAGGCACCAAAGCTACACGGGGGAAACCCTGTCTGGGGGGGGGGGGGAGGAATGTAGGCGGGTGGGGTGGGGTAGGGTGGGTAAGGGTGTAGGCAGGATGGGCAAGTCTCCTAATAGCCATATAATAGTCTCCTCAGCTCTAAAGTGGTTGTCATTGGGCCCATCAAAGAATATGTTGGGGAGTAGGTAAAAGTGAGCCGCCATGTGAGGTGTAGGATAGCACCATGGGAACTTCCATAAATACTATTATTATTCCTCATTGTGGCCCAGTCAGTTCAGTATTTGAGTGGTGTTGTTTTCCTGAGCATTACCACATACCCGCCCCATGCTCAATCCACACCGGCCTGGCGTTGGTCGACACTGCTACTGCCCTCTTAATGTGATCGTTCTCAGGAGGGGGGTTCTCTCCATTTGCAGATGAAGTCCAGGCTCAGAGAGGGGAAGTGCTTTGCCCTGGTCCCCAGCAGGGACTTGATGGAGCCAGAGGTCTCAGCCCCAGGGTGGAGCTCTTTGCCAGGATAGCCTGAAGTCCCTTCTCCCCTGTAATTGGTACAGTGGGAGAAAGGGCCTGCCTGCCTGCTGGAGGACTGTGAGCCGCTTCTGCTGGGTGTGTCTCTGGGCTTGTTTGCATTTGAAGGAGTGTCCTGGTAGTCCCAAGACCCACGTGCCCGAGCAGGTGTGAGTCAGGACTTCATGGCCAGCCCCTGGGCTGCCCTTCTCTGGCTTCGGGCGGCCTCCCTTGTCCCTGTGTCACGGTCACTCCCCTCACTAGGATGATCGACTGGGTGTCCTGGCCCCTGGGGAAGAACATTGACAAGTGGATCATTGCCCTTCTCAAGGGTCTGGCTGCCGTTAAGAAGTTCAGCATCTTGATCGAGGTTTCGCTCGCCAAAATTGAGAAGGTTGGTGGCCCCTGTCCGAACCCCGGCTTGTGGCCTTTCCCACTGGTCTCTTCTGGGAGCAGTGCAGGCGTGGGATGCAGGGTCCTGGGGTCCCAACCACGCTCACTGTGTGACGGGGCTAATTCACTGCTCCTCTCCGGGCCTCAGATTCCAGCTCCATTACTCTGACTGCTTCTTCCAGGGCAGGTGTCTGCCCACCCACCCATCACTCACTAACCCTGGCTGCCTGGTCCACCATGTGCTGCTCCATCCAGCTCCGAGGCCCGTCTCTGTTCTTGCTTCACCGTCAGCCTGCTGCTTCCACTGTTCTGTGTCTCCGCTTCCCTTTCAGGGTCCACGGTGGCCACGCTGGGCTTTGGGGAGTGGCTCAGGTCTGGGGACACCTGACACAAACTCTTTTTCAGGTCTTCTCTAAGCTCCTGTACCCCATTGTTCGGGGAGCTGCCCTGTCTGTCCTCAAGTACATGCTCCTGACTTTCCAGCACTCCCACGAGGCCTTCCACCTGGTAAGGGCCCCGCCTCCGCTCTCTCTGACCTGCCTGAGACCTAACAGGGTTTTCTGCGGGGAGTCAGGGAGTTGGGGCTTTTGAAGCAAAACTCTCCATCTTACTCAGCACGGGAGGCTCAAGCCCTGTGGTAGAGAAGGGAGATGGAAGCCAGAGGACGTGTGACTCCCACGAGCACACTGTAGAATGACAGAACTTGGCTCGGGGACAGCTACAGCTCTTCAGGGTCAGGTGTCAGGAATGGTGCTACAGATGCTCACTCACCTGGCATCCAGACAGGCCTTCCTTCTGGAGATAAAGAAACGGCACTGGGGAGAGGGTTAGCAAGTCACTGGTCCCCACAGGAGGTGGACAGGGAGGTTCCGGCCGGCCGAGGTGGTCTGACTCCCAAGCACCTGTCCTTCCTTCACTTTGTTACCCACCAGCACTCACTGTCCTCGAGGCTCTCTTCAGGGAGGGGCTCCTTCTCTGAGACCCTCACGTTGGACACAGCAGTTAACCCTGTACTTTGCAGTTTGTTGAAATGAAAAAAAGGTGAGAATCAGGGATGGGGACAAGTGTCACTGTGGCGACCTTAATTTGGAATGGGGTAAACCCCAAGGATGGGAGAGGAATGAGGCGATACGTGTTTAGAGCCTACCATATATAAACATGTGACCAGTGTCCTGTGCTCCTGTGGCCCAGCCATCCATTATGGCATTGGGATATAATACCCTAAGGGGTTCGATTGAAACTCCCTAATGCTGGGGAACTGAATGGGCTTTGGACTGAGATGGACCTGATTCAGACACCACCTTCTGAAACCCACCATGAAATCCTGACAGGTTACATAACTTATCTGGGCCAGGGGGTGTAGCTCAGTGGTGGCACTCTTGCCTGGCACACACTGGGCCCTGGGTACTGTCTCCAGCACCAACAGCCCCCCGCCCCCAAGCCATATAACACAAACAAGGTGCTCATGTTGCTCAGCTCACCCAGATGGCTGACCCAGCCCGAGCATCTGCTGCGGGGCAGAGAGGCCTGTGGCTCTTAGGGAAGCTTGGTTGGGTGAGGCTGAACAGCTGGCCACCTCACAGCTGTGAGGAAGGAATTATTTATCTTGCTTTGCAGATAGAGACTGAGGCAGGGAATCTTAGATCATAGGTCTTATAAGGAAAATTACTTCCCACGGAACTCAGCTTTACCTAGTGGAGGAGCAAACTGGTCACATGAGTGTACCTTCAATCCGCAGAAGCTCCTCTTTTCAGCCCAGGCCTCAGGGTAGCCTGGCACCCGAGCTAACCCTCCTTCTCTCTTGTAGCTTCTCCCTCACATTCCTCCCATGGTGGCCTCTCTGGTCAAGGAGGACTCGAACTCTGGGACCAGCTGTCTGGAGCAGCTGGCAGAGCTGGTGCACTGCATGGTGTTTCGGTTCCCAGGCTTCCCAGACCTGTATGAGCCTGTCATGGAAGCCATTAAGGTGAGTGGACAGCCTCCTTGACAAATGAGCCTGTTTGGGCCTTCTTGGAGGCTATACCTCGCCTTGGTAGCAGCCTCCATCATCTGAACCCCTGCTGTTTCCTGTCAGCTCTCTGGGGCCTTTGTGTGGGCTGGTCCCTCTGCTAACCCCTTCCTCCACCTGAGCCATAGCTCCTGCTTTATCTTACTTGAATTTTCTTGTTTTTTTAGTTGGCAGACAAGATAATGGGTCGCAGCACCTACTTACCATTGAATGTGGTCTTCAGGGTCTTGAAGACTGCTTTCAGTGAGCCTGCCCTGGGCTGTCAGTGTCCACCTCCCTTCCTTCCCCAGGTCTTAGCAGGGCCTCTCAGTGGCTCCTGAGCACTCCCGGAAGTGATGCCTGGCTAACAGGACCAGGCTGGTGTCCTGCCCTCAGCCAAGCTGAGGTTGGGTGTAGCTAGAGTTTTCCTGCCTGGCCCACAGTCAGGACAAATCTCTCTCACCTGCCAGTCCCACAGCCACTCAGACCTGACCAAGTAAACACAGAGACTTACATTGCTTACAAACTGTATGGCCGTGGCAGGCTTCTTGCTAACTGTTTTTACAGCTTAAATTAGCCCATTTCTATTAATCTATACCTTGCCACATGGCTCGTGGCATACCGGCATCTTCACATGCTGTTTCTCATCCTGGCGGCTGGCAGTGTCTCTCCCTCTCAGCCTTCCACTTCCCAGCTTTATTCTCCTCCTTGTCCCGCCTACACTTCCTGCCTAGCCAATGGCCAATCAGTGTTTTATTTATTGACTAATCAGCAACACATTTGCCATACAGAACATCCCACAGCAGTTGGGCTCTGGGGACCTAGGCACAAAGCAAACCAAGATGTCTTCCTGGAGGAGCTTTTGAAGCCCATTGGGGCAATAGATCTGCTTACAGGAAGTCTAATCTAAGGACCACTGATACAGGGAGAGGGTCCAAGTGGAGGTGAAGGCCTCTTTCAGAGCCTCTGATGTGATGCTTCACTCCCACAGCACAGCAGACCTGATGCCTGGGCCATTTCTCTACAAAACATCTGGGCATGTGTGTTGAGACAGAGAGACATCTTTTAAAAGGATTTACTTTTAAACTGTGTGTGTGTATGTATGTGTGTGTGTGTGTGTGTGTGTGTATGTGTGTGTGTATGTCTCTCTCTCTGTGTATATATATATATATATATATATACACACACACACACACACATGAATATTCATATATATATATATGAAGAGGCCAGAAGAGGGTATCAGATCCCCTGGAGCTGGAATGACAGGTAGTTGTGAGCCATCTCCTGCTGTGAATGTGGGAACTGCTTTCAGCTCTTGCTAGTGCTTTTAACTGGTGAGTCATCTCTCCAGCCCCATAGCAGACATCCTTTAAAGTACAGAGCTGATCTTGCAAAAGAGTGAGGGGAAATCTCCAGGGAGCCCCAAAGGAAGAGAAAACTGAATTCCCAAATGGTGAGGGGGCCCGAGGATGATGCCTTGAGGGCAGGGTAGGAAGCTCAGTAACATGGCCAACTTCAAACACAGAGAGGCTTGAACTGGTGTTGACAAGCCATGATTAATCCCCACCATGGAGTGATACTGTGAAGCCCCTTGAAAGCCAACAAAAAGGCTTCAGTGTTGATAAAAAAGAATGGTCTAGAAAAAAATATACATGTGGTCCAAAGCAGAAATTGGGAAAATTTTTCTGGCTTGATGTAGACTCTAGACTAGGGGGAAAAAAAGGAATTTGTAATCACCACGTTTAGGGGTTGAAATTTAGACCACTTGGTGGTGGTGGTGGGTGGTGGTATTGCTCTCAGAGCAGGTATTGATTTTAAAAGTATTTGTAAACTCATAGTACCCAAGGGTTGTCTGGTAGACACAAAACAAGCCAGAACTATAAGGTTGTATTGTAGATGAGTTTATTTAGAAACTAGTGTTGTAAACATCCTTCCCAGGAGCCAAAAGCTATTGACAAACCCAGGCCCAGTTCTGCCAAGTTCACATCTGGGAACCAGTGAGTTTATAGGCCTCCTCACAGAGCATAGGTGAGGGTGACTTACAGGGTGTGAGTGATCCCCTGCCTCCTGTAGGCTCTTCCAGGAAAGTCTTTACCCAGCAGGGATGAGGGCTTCCCTGTGGCCATATAGGTAGAGCCCCTCCCCAATCTTACATAACGTATATACTCCAGCCTCTCTAAAAGGCCATGTGCAGTTAAGGCAGAGGCATATACAACAGGTGGTAGGTGGTGGGAACTTCCTGAAAAGCCTGCTAGAGTGGAGGATAGGAGTTTGACCTTGACCATTAGGTCATGGGACGGGCACACAGGTGGGGAAGGGGAGTCTAGTTTGGCAATATGTCAGTGGTGTGCAGGGGACATCAGAAAGGCTTGAATCCAGGCAGAGTCACTCTTTGTTCAGTAGATCTGAGTTGTCCAGGCTAGCTTTGAACTTGTAGTCTTCCTTCAGCAACTACCCATGTGGCTGGGATGACAGGCAGCTTTTTCTTTCTTTTTTTTTTTAAATTTTTATTTTTTATTTTTTTTCCGGAGCTGAGGACCAAACCCAGGGCCTTGCGCTAGGCAAGCGCTCTACCACTGAGCTAAATCCCCAACCCCAACAATTAACAATAACAATTTATTGCTATACCCATTAATTAGTGCACCCTTCAACTCCATCACAGAAGCTCCTTCTTGCAGTAGATGAGCCCCACTGGGTTCCATGCAGAGAATAAGAGACTGTGGACTGCTCACTTTTTTTTTTTTTTTTTTTTTGGTTTTTCAAGACAGGGTTTCTCTGTGTAGCTTTGCGCCTTTCCTGGAACTTGCTTTGGATACCAGGCTGGCCTCGAACTCGTAGAGATCTGCCTGCCTCTGCCTGCCTCTGCCTCCCGAGTGCTGGGATTAAAGGCATGCGCCACCACCGCCTGGCGAACTTTTTTTCTGTTTAAAAACTATCATCTGTGAGAGGTAACTGGTGTAATAGAAAAATGATCCTGGGAAAGGACCAAGCAAGAGTTAGGCACAGTGTGGTCAAAGACCCGTTGCCATTGCTAAAGTGTGAGCTAATGCAAAGGTCTGTTGCCTTTGACTGATCTAGGGCTTTGTGCTCAGGAGCTGGAAGGATGTGCTGGCTCATTTCATGTCAACTTGACCCAAGTGTGGTGGTTTGAATAGGCATGGCCCCCATAGACTCATGTGTTTGAGTGCTTGGCCCAGAGGGATTGGCACTATTAGGAGGTGTGGCCTTGTTGGAGGAAGTATGTCACTGCGAAGGCAGCCTGTGAGTTGTCAATACATGCTCAAGCCACGCCCCGTATAGCAGTCTCTCCTGCTGCTGCCTGCAGATCTAGAACTTTCAGCTACCTCTCCAGCACCATGTCTGCCTACATACTTCCCACCATGTTTCTCACCATGATGATAATGGACTAAACCTTTGAAACTATAAGCCGGCTCCAGTTGAATGTTTTCCTTTATAAGAGTTGCCATGGTCATGATGTCTCTTTACAGCAATAAAACCCTAAGACAACATGCCATCAGAGAGGAAGGAGCCTCAATTGAGAAAATGTCTTCAGAAGATCCAGCTGTAGGCAAACCTGTAGGGCATTTTCTTAATTAGTGATTGATGTGGGAGGACCCAGCCCATTGTGGGTGGGGCCATCCCTGGGCTGGTGGTTTTGGGTTCTGTAAGAAAGGCTGAGCAAGCCACAGGGAGCAAGCCAGTAAACAGTACTCCTCCATGGCCTCTGCATCAGCTCCTGCCTTCAGGTTCCTGCCCTGCTTGAGTTCCTGTCCTGACATCCTTCAGTGATGGACTATGATGTGTAAGCCACTATGAGGTGTGAGCCAAATAAACCTTTTTTCTTCCCCAAGTTGCTTTTGGTCACGGTGTTTTTCGGTACAGCCATAGGAAGCCTGACTCGGACGGATGGCTGCAGTTAGGGGAACTGTTGGGAATGCCTTGACATCCACTCTAGAGCAGGGTACTGTGCGTAGGTGTTTGTCTCTGATGTCGTTAGAAGTGGGGCCAGACACCTCTTGGTGCAGCTATTGAGTGTGACAGAGATAGCCGGGGGAAGGCATGCCGAGCCTTGGGCCTGTGACAAAGGACGACCTCAGAGCCTCAGACCCTCTTACCGAGGTCGCAGGACCAGTGCCAGGGAGTGACTGATTTGCCTGAAAGCTGGCTCTGTAATCTCAAACTGGGAGTCAGAGTGAGGTCATCACTGTGACAGCATAGAGTGCCAGACCGATGGGAGAAGGGTGTCTTCTCTCGGCAGCTCAGGAAACTGAAGGTCACCAGACTGAATCAGAGAGACTTACTAAGCACTCACATCTACCGAGGCAAGAGTGAGGGGCTGGAACTGAGGTCTCAGCATCGCTAGATCTGGATCTGGCTGGTAGCCAGTGTTGTCGCGGCTTAGAGTGTCGGCCCTGAGCTCTGCCCTGAGCTCTGCCCAGAGCAAACGTGTTTTGTCACTCACTCTTTATGCTACTGCACAGTTCAATGATCTGCTGAATCCTAGTTGTTGTTTTTTTTTCTTGAGACAGGGTTTCTTTGTGTAGCTTTGGAGCCTATCCTATAGACCAGGCTGGCCTTGAACTCACAGAGATCCATCTGTCTCTGCCTCCCAGTGCAGTGATTAAAGACATGTGCCACCACCACCTGGCAAATCCTAGTTTTTTTTTTTTTTTTTTTTGGTCTCTGAGATGGGAATTACTCTTTCAGATGTCACCTGAAAGATCACATAGAAGGCCCACATATCAGAATGAGACCCTAGAGTGAGTTGTAAGCAGGGGCTGCAAACTCCTTTTCTAGACTTCTGAGTGTGTGCTTGGGAGGGAGTGGTGGAGTGGGTTCTAGTCTGGGAAGATTTCCTGGAGGAAGTCCGATCTAAAGCTACCACTGGTGTCTACTGTTCCCTCCTCAGGACCTCCACATTCCCAATGAGGACCGAATTAAGCAGCTGCTGGGGCAGGATGCCTGGACCTCACAGAAGAGCGAACTGGCTGGCTTCTATCCTCGGCTCATGGCCAAGTCCGACACGGGCAAGATTGGCTTAATCAACTTGGGTAACACATGCTACGTGAACAGTGTCCTTCAGGCCTTATTCATGGCTTCCGAGTAGGTGCTGTTCTGTATTGCTTCCTCTCTGTTTCTCCTTCCTTCCTTCCTTCCTTCCTTCCTTCCTTCCTTCCTTCCTTCCTTCCTTCCTTCCTTTCTTCCTTCCTTCCTTCCTTCCTCTTCCTTCCTTCCCTCTCTCCCTCCTTCCCTCCGATTTGAGACAGGTTCTTTTTTTTTTTTGGAGCTGAGGATCAAACCCAGAGCCTTGCACTTGCTAGGCAAGCACTCTACCACTGAGCTAAATCCCCAACCCCATTGAGACAGGTTCTTACTCTGTAGCCTAGGCAAGCTTTGAACCTGCCTCAGCCTCCAGGGCTGATATGGGTGTGGCTGCCACACCTCCTTTTGTGCCATAAGAAAGTACAATGTCACTTGATCACCCATGGCTCCTGGTACACCTTGTGGCTTGCTTCAAAATCCACCAGGGCTCCATCTTTGGCTCTGTGAGGAAGCACTCATTCTGATGTATCTCTGGCCATAAGTTAGTTTTCTCAAAGCTACAGAAGTAGGCGCTGGTGTCTGAGGTGTGTTGGACTGCTGCTGTCCTCACTGCCTGCTGAGGGGTGAACTTTGCCTTGTTCTGATTTCTGGAATGCTCAGACCGTTACTTCTATGAAATACAACAGAAGGATTTATTTGCTGGAAAAATCCCTTGTGGCTATGTGTGGTCATGTGATGTTGAGATGTTACAGTCCTTTGTGGAGCTCAGCGTCTGCATTGAACCTTGTCTGAGACCTGCCACAGAGCACTGAGTGCTGCCATGTGTTCATTGCTCTGGGTGGACAATGTGGGACTGACCTGCTGCTGGGAAGGCTGTGTGCTTCAGGGACAGTGGGTCTTAGGAGGATACCCTGACCCCACAGGATCACACGCATCCCCAGGGCCGTCTCCCTGCAGTGTCCTCTTGTGCCATGGAAGTCCTCTTTTGGAACCTACCTGGTTTGAGGGCAGGGGCTTATTACTTAGCTCGGTGTGGCTCTGGGCCAGGGCCCTGAGCAGGGGCCACAGGAATGGGTTGGAGGGCCAAGGTTGGGAGTGAATGGCCGTCCTTGCAAGTTATCGTGCAGAGTGTGCCAGTGCCTGGGGTGATGTTAGCAGAGACTCTGGTACACCAGTGTTCCCACCTTTGAAATGGGCATGTTTGAGTCCTAAAGTCATGGGGTGTCAGAGCTGGAAGGGATGGCAAGGGTCACCTTGTTGTCCCATTTGTTGTCATACCAAGGCCATTACAGAATTCATGACCCCAGCCACACCAGGCCAGTTATTTGCCGTCTTCTCCCTGGTCTCTGGCCTCCTCCGGAGCAAATGCCAGAGGCTTGGGTGGCCCGATGTAGGGGAGTAGCAGCTCCCTGGGGCCTTGGCTTACCCTGGGCTCCTGTTTGATTTGAAGCTTTCGACACTGTGTGCTCCGCCTGACCGAGAACAACTCACAGCCCTTGATGACCAAGCTGCAGTGGCTCTTTGCTTTCCTGGAGCACAGTCAGGTGCGTGCTGGTGCAGTGGGGCAGCAGTGGGACTGGGTGCAGAAGGGAGGTAATGCCAGGCCCTGCTCTGATGCTGTTCATGTCTCCCAGACCTGCCACAACCTAGCTAGAAGCTCCCGTTCTGTGGATTGAGTGCTGAGCCCCAAGCTGACACCAAACTTCCAGGTCCATTCAGTGTCCTCATGGCAGGGGGTGCACCTGGAGCCTCTTCCCGGGCTGTGCCACTCCAGCTTCCCTTCAGCGTTCAGTCCCGGGCACTAATGCACCCCCATCTGCCGATTGTAGGCACCTCTGGGTTACCTGGGTCTCTGCTCTGAGTGAACGAGCACCACCTCTGTCCTTACAGAACCCAAAGCCGTGGCCAGGGGTGTGGGAGGGCCTCTGTCTGGTGCTTGAAAGGGGAAACAACAGGCTGGCTGGGCTTTGACAGCACACAGGGGAGGGGACAACCCGTGATGAAGAAGTGGAGGAGGCAAGGATTTGGGAAGGTGTCATGGAAGAGGCCTCTGTACCCTGGGGGACTCATTTTGGCGAGAGTGAGGGGTGTTTTAGGCAGAGAAAATAATGAACAAAGGCCTGGAGAGACTTACTGTGGTCTGTGAGGGCAGGGCGGATTCCTAGAGAGTTACACCAAGATGGTGACACCCCACTCCTGGGCTGCATGGACTGTGGGATGGATGTGGGTCAGGGCCAGCTTGGAAGGGGAAGGTTGTAGGTTAGGAGGCTACTTGGAACATAGCACTGCCTGCTGCTGGGCGTGGGGCTTGATCTCCTCACCCCACCTTTCACCTGCCTTGTCCTAGAGGCCAGCCATCTCTCCTGAGAACTTCCTCTCTGCATCCTGGACACCATGGTTCAGCCCTGGGACCCAGCAGGACTGTTCAGAGTATCTGAAGTACCTGCTGGATCGGTAAGAAAGGTTGGTGGGTTAGGAGGGTGTGGGCCCCAAGAACATTCTGGGGAGACAGCTTGTCCTTCTGAGCTGGGTTGGATCTTTTTGGAAATAGGAACATTTCCTTGCTCTTCTGAAAGGCAGAGGGAGGTGTGTACCATAGGTGTCCAAAGATGCTGAAGTACAAGTGAAGCCTGGGCAGGGGCCTGTCAGTGTGTGCGTGTGTATCCACTGTGCTGCCTGAGCATGCTAATCCTCATCACACAGCTCTAGGTCCATCTTTATGTAGGCATGTGCTAGGTGAGTGTGTCAACACAGAAGTATGTCAGCATGCCACTTTATACAGCGATGGGAATTGTCTTGCCAGGCTCTTACATGTGTTAGAAGTATGGTGGGCAGTGTGCTGGAGGCGGGCCTGTTTGTAGGTGTGTACACCTGGTCTCCCTGCTTGTTCTAGGCTTCACGAAGAGGAAAAAACCGGGACGAGGATCTGCCAGAAGCTCAAGCAGTCCACCTTGCCCTCCCCACCGGAAGAACTCCCTAGCTCCAGCGCAACATCTGTGGAGAAAATGTTCGGAGGCAAGATCGTGACTCGGATATGCTGTCTCCACTGCCTCAACGTTTCCTCCCGGGAGGAGGCCTTCACAGACCTCTCTCTGGCCTTCCCTCCTCCCGAGCGATGCCGCCACCGCCGCCTGGGCTCCGTGATGCTCCCAACAGAGGATGTGCGAGCCCAGGAGCTGGCACTGGCTCCCAGAGCCCCAGGGGCACAGAGGCAGAGGAAGCACTGCATCACAGGAGATGCTCCCTGCACTGGACTAGACATAGAGGGTCTGGGCATCGTCAGCACTGGTGGACAGAGTGGGCAGGAGGAGAAGGTGGAGAGGGAGCAGGCCGGGAAGGAGAAGGAGGCAGCAGAGGAGGAGGAGGAGGAAGAGGAAGGTGCAAGGGAAGAGGAGAAAGAGGAAGGGAAAGAGAAGAAGAAGGAAGATGAAAAGGAAAAGGAATCTGAGAATGGCAAGGAGAAGGATGGGGACAGCTTGGGACCAGGGACCCATAGGGATGCTGCCGTCCCACCCAGGGAGCAGGTCTGTGGTCCCGAGGGTTCCCGCTCTGTACTAGACCTGGTCAACTACTTCCTGTCCCCTGAGAGGCTGACAGCTGAGAACCGTTACTACTGTGAGTCATGCGCCTCCCTGCAGGATGCAGAGAAGGTGGTGGAGCTGAGCCAGGGTCCACGCTACCTCATCCTAACACTACTGCGCTTCTCCTTCGACCTGCGTACCATGCGGCGCCGCAAGATCCTGGACGATGTCACCATCCCCCTCTTGCTGCGCCTGCCACTGGCTGGGGGGCAGGGACAGGCTTATGACCTCTGTAGTGTGGTGGTGCACTCTGGAGTGTCCTCAGAGAGTGGCCACTATTACTGCTACGCCCGTGAGGGTGCTGCCCGGCCGACCCCTGTCCTGGGATCCACAGACAGGCCTGAGCCTGAGAACCAGTGGTACCTGTTCAATGACACCCGGGTGTCCTTCTCATCCTTCGAGTCGGTCAGCAACGTCACCTCCTTTTTCCCTAAGGACACTGCCTATGTGCTCTTCTACCGCCAGCGGCCCAGGGAAGGGCCTGAGGCTGAGCCTGGCTCTCCCAGAGTTCGAGCAGAGCCCACCCTCCACAAGGACCTGATGGAGGCCATTTCCAAAGACAATGTCCTCTACCTGCAGGTGAGTCCCCTGCTGACGGTCAGTAGATGCCACTCCCGGGTGAGGACTTGGCCCAGCACAGCCCCACACACAGACCAGTTATCTGTTCTTTTGAGTTGTCCTCAGTTTAAAAATCCATCCACTCAGTACTTAGTTAGGGGTATGTTGGAGGCTGGAAAGGCACATCCCTTAAGCTCAGAGGAATGGACCCTGAATAATAGCACAAATTGATGATGCTCAAAGAGAGTTGTGGAATTAATGGGCAGGGACTGCTTCTGGGGCTCTCAGAGGGGCCACTTCTTCAGTGGCCTTCATGTCCCCATGTCCTCCTTTGTCACTGCCTCGGGCTCCCTTAGCAGAGTCAAGAGCAGTATCAAAATATTCAGCCATGGGGTGGCCACACCAGGGCTCTGTGCTTCCTGCACCTGGAGTTGGAGTTTCCTGAGAGGAACGTGAGGGCATGGGACACTAGCCAGCTTCTACATTTGTGAGGCCTTGCAGTTGAGATACGGCTTGGTGAAGTCTGAGAGGCTGCCCTTATTTTAGCAGGGAAGAATTTGCTACATGGGCAGAAGATGGACCTCAGCTGAGGCCAGGAAGTCTGGAGAGGTTTTCTTAAGGTCCTAGGCACTTGTCAGCTAGTATGAACAAGTTCTTTTTTCCAAGAGACTTGAGTGATTATCGAGAGGAAAGTGTAGTTTGATTCTTAGACCTGAAGTCCTCCATCCTGCTCCTCAGGCGGGTGTGTGTGTGTGTGTGTGTGTGTGTGTGTGTGTGTGGTGATGGGGGGGTGGTCTGGAGATGCTGGCAGTGTTGTGCTAAGCTACTTCCTGTCCTCATCTGTTTCTAGGAGCAGGAGAAGGAGGCCCGGAGCAGGGCAGCTTATATCTCCACACTCCCTGCTCCACACTGGGGTAGGGGCTTCGATGAAGACAAAGATGAAGATGAAGGCTCCCCAGGGGGCTGCAACCCGGCCGGTGGCAGTGGTGACTTCCACAGACTGGTCTTCTAATGAGAACTCCCACCTGTGGGGAGTCACAGCCAACCTCAGAGTGGGCCAGGCAGGGCTGGGGCCCAGGCAGAGCACTCTGCCATCTGGGGTCGTAGGGAGCTGTGGACGCAAGCCCAAGGTGAAGCAGGTCCTTTTGAGGGCAAGGAGGATGGAGAGGGACCATCTGGGATGTCAGTCTACAGCCTGAAGGGCACAGAGAAGCTGAAACCCAAAGCTCCTTAAGCAGTCACCATACTATGATGTTATGGTTGAGTGTACTGACTAACTGGGAGCAACTTGGATGAGGCCACCCTGGGCTGTGCCTCCCTGCAGGCCCCATCCTGGGAAGCCCAGCCAGCTCAGGTGTCAGTTTGGTGTCCTGTATCCAATAGCACTTCCTTTTACTCTAGTTCCTTCACCCAGCCCCTCCTCGATAGGAGAAAAGCACAGCCGAAGTCAGGTCCTTGCACCCAGAAGGGGGCTGTTCCCTCTGCCTGCCCTCTGGTGTCTTCAGGGGGTTCTTAGAACAAGGTGTGTGGGTGCCTGCACCCACTGTGTGTTTGAGGCATGTAGGGAAGGCAGCACAGCACAGGACCAGAGGTGAGACTCTTACCTGCCCCTCCCCTCCCCAAGCAAGTCACACTGGGAGAGCCCCTTCCTTCCCCTCCCTAGCCTGCCTCAGTGCCTGAGATGCTGCCATGGCATCCCTGTCTAGTTAAGGTCCGAGTCCTTATTTTACTGAAGACATTCGTCTGTCAGAAAGCCATTGTCGTTTGAGGAAGCTAGCTGGCTTGGCTCCTCTGATGGAATGTGAGGGCTGGGTAGGTATGAACTGTGTAATGCACACAACCTCACTGTGCCCTGAGACTACTATAGCCCCTTCTCAGTGGAGAGAAGAAACCCGTGTTCTTAAATAGGAATAAAACTTGCTTCTCGGAAGCCTGTGCAGGGTGCTGTTCTTCCAGCTTGAGCTGTGGTGTCTGCGTCCTCTGGAATGCTCACTTGTGTCTAAGCCGTCTTGACAGTTACTCGGGCTCCTGGTAGGTAAGATGAGGATGTGCCCCTGTCCTGGGGACTTTAGATGTAGCAAGGAGATGCTTGGTGCTAGGCCCTGGAGACTCCAGAGCTGCCAAAGGTGAGGCTGAGGATGTTTCATGGGTTGCCTTGGAGCAGACTGGTTTGCCAGGTAAGCACAGAAACCCAAGAGTGGCTTTTCAGATTCCAGGAATTCTGAGCTGAGTTGAAACATATGCCATCACTGCCTGCCTTTTTCGCTCCTCTGGGAAGGGGGTCCTAGCCTGTTCCTGGCTAGACAAGGTGTGGGTTGGGACAAGCTGGGAAGCAGTTCTCCAACATTCCAGAGTCAACATCTAGCTCTTTTTAAAAGATTTATTTATTTTTTTTTTATTGTATGAATGTGTGTCTTTGAGTGTCTGTGTACCATGTGTGTGAGGAGGCCAGTAGAGGGCACCAGATCGCCTGGAACTGGAGGTACAGGCTGTTGAGAGCCACCTAAAGTGGGTGTTGGGAACCAAACGGCTGAGCCAGCTCTCCAGTCCTAATACCCAGTTCTTTCCTCGGGTTACAGTCCCAATCTTGAAGCCGAAGAGGGACATGGGTGGCTGTGAATACAGGGAGGGTCTGGGACTGGCCTGCACCCTCCAGTCCCCTTCTTTCCACGCCTACTCATCCTCTTAAGAACAAAGCAGCTGGAAGGTTATAATGGTGCTGTGACAAGGGGTTTTAAGGGCTGTGGTAGAGGTTTTGGTCCAAATGCCAGACTCTGGAGCTGTCAGGGAAACTGACTGTCCTGCCCCTGCTTCAGCTTCTGGGATTACAGGCATGCATCACTGCTCATGCCAGATGCTGGTCTAAGAAAAGAGGGTTCATTCTTGTTCCTGGCCTGGAAAAGTGCCCAATTCCAGTCCATCAAGATGGAACAGAACTGGGCACACCAGCTCCTGGGCTCATTCTCTCTGAAATGAGTTTGTCAGAGAAGGTGCAGCTATATGACAGCATCAGTCTCAAGGCTGCCCAGGATGGGACGAGAGGAAGTTTCCACGCCCCTACAGACAGTCTCCAGCAGCCCACTCTGGGTTGCATTTCTAAAGGACTTTATTGCCCTGCTTCTACACCATAATAAAAAGGGACCTGCAAGCTCCAGGCCTGTACCATTTGTCACCACTGCAAAAACATGACTCACGTGAACACATTTCCCGCCCCACCCCCAGACCTCACAAGATAAATACATGTTACAAATTTTTTTTGAAAACAGAATAAATTAATAACTTAAGTGATTAGGCACCAACAATGATTTGAAAAATTAAATGTCAATCTTAAATGGTAACAAGACACGAATGTAAGACTAGGCTGCTTCTACTTCATTTTCTCTTCCCAACAAATAGTGACAATACTGTGTGAAATGATTCTAAGTTTCAAGACACAAGTAACCAACAGATTACACAAGAAGACACACCACCAGATACCATGACAGCACAAATCACCACCAGGCGCCCTGTCAAGTCTGGCTGCTCCTGCTGGGCCCAGGCCCCAAATCTGGCAAGCCCAGAAAGATGGCCCTCTAAGGTTAGCCTGCTTCCCCATACTTACAGCCAAAGGCCCAACTGGAAAGGAGGAGCTACTTCCCTCATGGCCTGCAAAACTCGGTTGTAGGGAGGGAAGGGAGCCATGGCTTGGATTCTAGCTACTGGAAGATAGATGGCCCAAAGGCAGACTGGACACAAACCCACGTTCCAGTAACTTCAGAATGGTTGTGCTTCTGTTCTGGGAATGGGGCCGATTTTCGTGGAGTCAAATATAGCTATCAGAAAAATACAGATAGGGAAGGATGGAGTTGACTAGCTAATGTGCTGTGTGCTGCCTGTCCCCAGTGACCCAGACCTTTAAAGGATCCCTCAGGGTCTCCTTACAGCAACAGAACATCACTATGACCATCCCATTTCACAGACTGGCAAGTCTCAAGGAGATGCCGTCTCCTTTCTTAACTGTTCCTCCTCCTCAACTTTAACCTTGCAGGGTGGATCTGGAAGAGTTGCTGCAGGACAGGTGCTTGTGGGAGCTATGCTAGCAAAGAGGCGATGAGTGTTCTGGGGTCTCATTCCTTGACAGCCACCAGGGGAGGTGAACTTTGACCCATGGGTAGGCCAAAAGATTTTTTTTTTTTTAATGGAATTGGCTTTTCCTATTTGGGGGTTGGAGGATGGGTTAAGAGTCTGGGAATTTTGAGTCAGAGTTCAGCTTTCCAAAGGTTGGAACCAGAGCAAGACTAACTAGACTTGAACACCTCAGTGTTGATAAAGGGCAGCCAGTTCCACCCACATGGCAAGCTCCACTCAAAGAATGCACTCTGGGGTGGTTGCTAAGACCATGATACCTGGACCTGCTATGAACCCCAGCAGTACCAGTCAAAAGCTTAGCCACATGGGAGCCCCGGGACTCAAGAGTCTTAAAGGGCACCACAAGGATGGGCAAAGCCAGCCAAGTACCCTGTAACCCTGTTCAGTGCAACCAGCCACAGCCCCATTTCACTCCAGGTGACAGCACACACTTCTGAGGCTGGCTTCATACCTTCAAACATCTTCTGTTCTCAAAGCTCAGGCTTCCCCCACCCTGCTCCTCCAGGGACCCATCCCTGCCTACCTTCCCTGCCTAACTCACTCTGTTCTCTCCCCATGCCTCCCCTCCCTGTGGCCCAGTCTCCCTTAGCACCCCCCTTCCTCTGTACTTGTAAGTAGTCTTTATCGTCCACTTTTCTCACTGATTGCCACCTCCAGTTAGGGACAAGGTATGATTCATCTGTAGCACAGAGCTTGGCCACCATTACTAAATTAAATGACCCATCCTAATGTGAGAAGAGGGTCTATTACTGAGGGACTCCTAGTTAGGACTCTCTAGACGAGAAAGGTGAGGTGTGCCTTTAGTTGCTGAAAGGTCCTAGTTTTAGAGGACAACGGTCTGTTCATTTAAGACAAAATAAAATGCTGGTTTGCCCTATTTTCTCTGAAATGCTTGAAGATTTGGTTAACAACTTTCCACACAAACACATTCCGATCTCCCTGCCGTGTCTTAGCCTTACTTAGGTGATGTCTGCTTCCCATCTCTCTGATGCCATGGGAGGAGAGGGATAATCTCTCCTGCAGCTGAGGACAGCAGAGAGAAGAGCTGAGAAAAAGACCTGGCCTGGCCCTCGGTCAAGGGTGTCTCTATCAGGCACAAGCTGTTACCCAGATCCTCATGTGTTGCCTAGATTTGATCAAGTATGGCTCCTCCCCCTTCTGCTTCCTGCTGCACTCCTGCATGTGGCCTTGGGCTCCATCAGGCCCTCTGCACACCTCCCCACCTGCTACAACTTGCCTCCCAGCCCTGAAGTCATCTCTGCACCCTCTTACCTCCTAGAAACCTGCGTCCTGTGCCATCGCTGCCGCAGCCGCCGCAGCCCGTGCTGCCCTGGGCCTAGCACACTCCTGTCCCAGGGTCCCCCTGCCTCCCAGCCCCTGCATCACCCCTACTCTTTCCCGCTCTGTCTCATCTCTCCATCAGGGCCAGGGAAGAGCTCTGCCTGTTCCAGGTGGCAGACTCCTCTATCCCCGGGTTTGTCACCTCAAGCCCTGTTCCGTGTTGTTCCTGGTTGCCTGTCTTTACCAGTTTTCCTTCCTGCTGCCCTTCATCCTTTGCCTCCCAGTCTACAGCAGCGGGTCCCCATGGCCTGATAATTGGGTATCACCTTGCAGGTGACCAGCTACCCTTCTGTTCCTGGGAACCTAATTTCTTTGTCACTCAAGGCAACTTCTGACCTTCATTATCAACCTTTCTTCTTGTGGCACCTTGCCTTTCTCTTGCCCCAAACAGCAGGGGTGTGAAAGCCCATGTCTACTTTAGTCTGCTGGTCCTCGGCTCCCTGGGTTATCATCCTCGAGGGATGGAGAAGCAGCCCTGAGGTAGAGGGTAGAGAGCGGTGAGCAGACATGAGGCATGAACTGGCTCAGAGCCTCAGCCCTCCCTCTAAGAGTCCAAGCAGCAGACAAATGGGTCCAGAGCAGGAGGCTTTTTTGGCAACAGCTCCTAACTAAGGTGGTGGAAGCACAGCTAGTAGTATTGACAGAAGTCATAGGTGGACCCCAAGTGGCAGAGGAGTGTCTCCATCAGGCCCTTGCCTTGAAGGGGTAAGGGTCAGGGTCCCTGATGTCGAGTGCTTTAAAGGCTGAAAGTGGTACAGAGGAGAGGAGGGGTGGGAAGGGATGGAGAAGGTGACAAAGAAGAGCCAGCTCTGAGCAGCTGCCTCATGGCCCTTGAGCTGCCTTGGCGGCCCCCTTTATCACAGCTTGGCACCCTTGGAAGGTTCTGAGGACTGTCGCACATCTGTCCACTCCTGCATGGTGTTCTGCAGGGCCTGGGTCTTCTCTTTATCCACTTGGACATAGTCTACCTTCTCATCCGATGTGACAGATGATGTGGATGGCTGAGGGGACAAAAGGAATGACTATGAGTTACCTATAAGGCTGTCACTTTGAATGGCCTCAAGGTCTTGTCTGTGCTGAACGTGAACTTCAAAGTGAAATCATATGTTGGGGGCGCTAAGCCTGCTGGCACCTGCTTCCCAGCTTTCAGGATAACCCCACCACACCTGGGCCTTGCTACTGGTTCAGGCCTTCACTAATGCTTCCTTCCATCTTCCTTTGGCCACACTTCCAGGAAAAGTATTCCCATGAAAAGGGAGAAGCACCAGGCCTTAGAGCCCTCACAACATGCTGAGGGGAACTGTGTTGAGGTGGACTTCCTCCTTGTTGCCTGGGCTGAGAGTAGTTCTTGGCAAGGCTTTTCCAGGCCTTGAAGTCCCTTCCAAGGGATATTGTGTCTTCATCAAGGCTCATCCAGTTTTTTTTGTTGTTGTTGTTGTTTTTAAGGCTAGGGAGACAGGAGCTCCATGTCTTGGATTGTTCACTGAATCTCTTTGTAATCCTGAGCAAGGAGACTGATGGGTAGACTGATGACAGTCAACAGACTGCGGGGATTGGTGCCCGGCAACCCCAGTTAAAGTGCAGTGAGTCATATACAATGTCTCTGGAATGGGTCTCCTAATCCCCAGCACCCCCAGCCCCCAGGTACCTTGCGGTGAGGGCTCGGGGAGCCTGGCTGGAAGTCCAGGGCTAGGTAATCCACACTGCCAGTACTCTTCTTTGGAGCTGGGCTGTTGGTGCCACTGGGAACAGGGGATGCAGACACTGGGTTTTGCTACGACAGAGAGTAAAACTGGGTGAGTTTAACAGTCAAATCATCACCTTGAAAACCTATGGGAACAAGAGCTCTTCTACTGTGTCCTGCATCGAGCCATGCATGTGACTTTTCAGTCTCATGTAAGTCTACCCTGCAGACCTGGAGGTGGAGATCACTACTGTTCAAAGCACTGAAGGCTAAAAATGAAGGCTCAGGAAGTACAGCCAGTCACCTGTACTTGCACAGCTGGTGTGTGATGGGAGCTAGGGATTTTTTTTCTTTAAAAGATGATTTTTTTTTTTAAAAAAAACTTTTTCTGTGCATTGATATTTTGCCTGCATGCATGTCTGTGTGAGGGTGTCAGATCCCCTGGAATTGGAGTTACAGTTATGAGCTGCCATGTGGGTGCTGGGAATTGAACCCAAGTCCTCTGGAAGAGGCTCTTAACCACTGAGCCATCTCTCCAGCTCCCAGGGATGTTTTCTGACTACCCATGTGCCTGGCTGCCTCCCTTTAGAGAGGCTGGGGCAACTCTTAGGTACTGTCTCTCCTGGAAGGCCCAGCTTCAGTTTGCAGGTCCCTGATAAGCAACTTTCTCCCACACTTGGTGATGCAGAGTTTCCTATCACATCTGGCCACAAGCAGCTGGAGCCCTTGGCTCTACAGGGACCTGAACAAGTCACCTTGTTTCTGGGTGACAGGCCTTCATTTCTTCAGCCATTCTTCATGTGAGAGGTTCTAGGCTGTTTATATCTGAACTGTGCCTCAGGTCTGATTGTAGTAAGAAGTGATAGTCCCATTTTAATGATTGATCTGTTCTCTGAATCTCTGTAGCCTTGCAGCTGTGCCCTTGTCAGTGCTGTGTGTGTATTTCTACTACTGCCACCACCACAGGGAGTTATACACCTGCATGTCTCTCCAAGGGCACCAATCATGATGTCATCTGAATTACAGCAGTGAGAGAGACAGGCCACCAAGGGTCTTTAAGAGACAGACCTCCATGGGGACAAAGCTGTGTCTTTCTAATGGCGGAAAACAACCGTTGTTTGACATTCATCTGTCCAGGAAGGGTCTGCAGCAGGAGGCTAACTTCATCCAGGGCAAGGCAGCCATGGCCTGAGCAGGGAAGAACTGGGAGGCTGGCCAGTGAGTGCTTGAGGACTCACCATGGGGACGTAGTTCTCTTCGCTGTCTCCCGAGTCTGTGCTGGTGATGCTTTGTGTGGAGATGGGGCGGCAGTACTGGGAGGCGCTGGAGTTAGAGGTGTGGCTGTTGGACAGAGAACAGAGTGAACCCGGAGGAGCGACAGTTCTTAAACCCCAGACCTGGGCCACCAGAGCTTCCCACTTCCATTTTCAGACTGAGATCTAATACAGGGAGATTTTAAATCTTTTCTCCTTCACAGATCAGGAAAACAATCCCAATAGATTGAGACAGATTAATAAAACAGAAGATGATTGGCATCTGGAAAGACCCACCCTAAATGTGTGGAGTACCAGCCAACCAGGAGCAGCCAGGACAGGCATGCTTTTACTTTCAGGCTGCCATGTCCTCCTCTCTACTCTGATGATTCTGCCTTGCCACAGGCCTCAGATGAGCCAAGTGACCATAGATTGAAACCACGAACCAAAATAAATCTTTCCCCCTCTTGAACTGTTTACGTGCCATGTTTTGTAACAAAACTCAGAAACCGAACAAAGCCCCTGATAATGCATGAGCATCAAAATCCTGGTGTCCGAACCCCCAGGCCAGCTATCACTCAATTCTGACACCAAGATCCTGCTTCTACACACACTCACTTGACCCTGGACCAAGACTTGGTGACAGGTGACTTGAAGGGGAGCTCATCGATGACAGTGTTGTTTCTCAGGTCCAGGGGTGTTGGCTTTGCTACAGTTGGAACAGAGTTCAGGAATCAGTGGCTACACTACATAGACACATACTATATGTATCACACAAGCACATTTTCAAAGGCCATCAGTTTTATACAGGGGATCTGGTTTCAGGATTCCCAGAGATATCACACTCCAGATACTCCAGTCCACATCTTCACATTCTAAAGCATGTGAGGGCGTCAGATCCCCTGGAATTGGAGTTACAGTTATGAGCTGCTATGTGGGTGCTGGGAATTGAACCCAGATCCTCTGGAAGAGGCTCTTAACCACTGAGCCATCTCTCCAGCTCCCAGGGATGTTTTCTGACTACCCATGTGCCTGGCTGCCGCCCTTTAGAGAGGCTCAGGGCAATTCTTAGGTATTGTCTCTCCTGGAAGGCCCAGCCTCAGTTTGCAGGTCCCTGATAAGCAACTTTCTCCCACACTTGGTGATGCAGAGTTTCATCATGTGTCCTTTCCACTGTATCTATAGGAATCAGACTTGCAGAATCCAAAATGGGACTCAATGGGTTTAAGAACAGGGATTCTCCCCAGGTTTGTGACTTCTTATAAAATCAGAGACTGTATTCAGAACAGAGACAGTCGCTGTGACTACTATGGTTGATTTTAGACAGTGTTGAGAAAGTCAGTGATGAGTAACTAGCATAGGACCTGTAAGCCTCAACTTCACACGGTCAGAGTCCTAGTCGGCCAGACCCATGGGCTACATCTCTGCCCAACTTCCATCTCTTCCCTTTGAATACCTGCTGCTTGGCTAAGGCCAGCAGAAATCCAGTTTGGACATTTTTCTGACTTCATTCAGGTCATGGATCTACTTCTGCACACCTGCGGTAGACTACATGACACATTCTAGAGGCTTTCCTTTTGAACAAATCTGAAGTCTGGATTTGCATTGTTTGTACACAGTCACACACCCCTAAGTCCACTATACACCAGATCTCTAAGCAAACGCTTTCTAGAGACAGAATGGGGCCAAGAGTGGACTCACCTTTCCGGTCAGGCTTGAGGTTGCGATTGACTGGGGGTGGCTGGATCTCACTTCCTCGGCTGGGACCTCTATGAATAGGAAGGGCTGTGGATGGGTAGCCAAGCGGGTCAAAGTGATGGGGCCCTGGGCTCATGGGGATGTAGACACTTTGGGAGTTGTCCCCTGCTCGTTCCATAGCCAGCAGGGTAGAAGAACCTGGGTTCATGGGCACATAGTTGTCATCAGAGCTGGCACTGTCTGATCGACCCACAATGGTCTTCCCTGGCTAAAAGAAAAAAAAAAAAGAGTAAAAGACATGCTTGTAACTAGTGAAAAGAAGTAAGGTGAGACTCTGCACAAGCTGAGCTGTCCTGGTTGGTTAGCTACACGTTGAAGCAACAAGAACGACCTTGGGTAGACCAAATAAGGAGTGTAGTGGGAATGGAGGAGAAATGAGCTCTGCAAGTTCCTTCTTGTTTTCATGACCTCTTGGGAGCCATCTATGACTTGTGATAAGACTTAAGTATAAAACTCTGTGGCTACTCAAGCCCATGGCTTGGGGCTAGGAGTATTTGGGTTCCAGATGCCTGGCTAAGGCAGAAGGTAGCCCAGGCTAGAAACAGCTCAGGATTCACCACTGGTAAGTCAATCTAGACCCTCACCAGGGCTCTCAAAGGTGAGGTTTGCCAGCTACACTTGCCCTGTCTATCATCCCAGGCACCTAGGTCATAGCAAGTTGTAGGTAGAGCCGTCACAGGCCTGTATAAATAGTGCAGCAGCCCTAACTACAGCCATTCTCCAGCTCCCGCCTCATGGCACAGCAGAGCACATCTGCCTGCACCGATTCTTCTTCACTGTCTTTCCAGTGGGCTTGTACCTAAGCCCTCATCAGCTTGCTTTCAACCTGGACAGCCCATTCCAGAGGCAGCCTGGGATCCTCATGGAAGCTGTCATCTGTCATCACCTCTGCTGTGTTCCTACTCGGCATACCTGGTGAGCAGGGCTGTTGCCTTAGAGGACTCTGTACTTTGGAGTGTGTCTGCTGCACAGTACTCCAGTCTGTCTTAGGACCAGATGAGGGTACCATTTTCACTTACCAGAAACACCTCCCTAGGATGTTGGACTTTGACAAGTAGGCAGATCCTAAGGGAAATGCCATCGTTCTTCGGGTGATGTGCTTTGAGTGACATGGGTGTGGCTTCTTCTCTACCCTGACTAGGCCAGGGGGCCCTGATCAAATCCCACCTCCCAGGAAAGGATTAACACTCTCACTCACAGATTCAGCAGACCAACTGGCACTCTCTCCGCCTCGTGTTGGGTACTCATAGGTCTCACAGGAAGAAGCTGTGACGAAGGAAGGAAGATGGTTCATACTCACACTGTCCCCCAGGTGGACTTTCCCTGTCCCTGCCCAGTATGGCCACTCTCCTGAGAGTCCCAAAGGTACTGCTGTGTCTTCAAGGGACAGGGTATTGCTTGCTCCTCACCCCTCTTGATCACAAGCTCTGCTTAATTCTCAGATCTGTTGCAGTGTGGGTATCTGCAGAGAGTCTCCTGACCTCAGCCCCCGGTTCTTCTCATACCTCCCGCTAGACCCACTCTCACGTCTGGGAATACTTTAGGAATGGCACTTAGGCTAATTACATATGTTCTTTTTCTTCTTCCAATAGGAAGTGAGCTTTGAAAGGCAGGGGCGTGTTGTGTATGTGTTACACAGTTCCAAAGCACAGGTGACTGCTCAGCTAGCCTGACTGACTGCGGAGTTCGAAAGGGGAGGCCTGGCCCCAGAGGCCCGAGCTCATCTGTGCTGCCGTCACAGCAGGGGGATGAGAAGGCTGTGCAAGCTCTAACGAGAGCTCACTGAACAGAGGGCATGTGCAGAGTTAGAATTCATCTGGGACACGTGAGGACAGAACTTAGGGGCCTCAAGTCAAAGTTCAGACTACAGCCACAGATTCTGCTATGACACGAAAATACCCTGAAGATAATTTTGTATTATTTTCTTTGAGTACACATAGGTTTGGCTCCAAAAGTCTGCCAATCTTCTAAACTTGTTTTTACATCTTTGGCTTTAGTTTTAAATAAACACAATAGTTTTATTTGAACCTCCAAAACCAAAATATCAACAACTCTAAGGCAGAGTCTGCTACTCTTCTGCCATGGTGGGTCTCATACTGACAGCTGGGTAGAGGATCATCTGCTAAGGAGATGCATAGAAGATGTCTTAGCGTGTGTCACTGAACTAAGTGGTCCTTAGGTTGATCTTGGCCTGGGGTGACCAAGGGCTCATAATACATTGAGAATGTCTGGGCTACCTCCCTGGCCCTCTGGTCTCAGCCAGGGATTACACTGACCTCGGTGGAGTCGGCTGTTGTCCATTGCGGGGAGGGTATTGCGCCTGGGGATAGTAGCAGCTACAGATCTACTATTTTCACTGATTGGAGGTCTTTGCTGAGGGCTGCCCCACCGAGGTGTTTCTGCCTGACTTGGCTTGGGGGGGCGGGGTGGGGGAGCTATGGCTGAGTCTCCAGGAGGGGCCATTGTCATGGCATTGTGGTTTTTGTCCAGTGTGAATGTTCTAGGGATCTGGTAGGCTGAGAGAGGGGTGGTTGGAACATCCATATTGTCCACTAGGAGGTCTCCAAACTCCCGACACAGGGTGTTGCTGGGTGTCTTGAAGGTGTACACATCCTCATTATCTGTCTCAGACCCTGTGAGGCTGCCCTTGGTGTGGCCGTGTGAAGCCAGGCTACGAGGGAGGTCGTAAGTACTGTCTTTGAATTCTGTATTGTGTCGGCTTGGCTTGGGAAGGCTATAGAAGCCATGGACTTGACCACTGACTCCATTGACACAGTGTCCATTGCCCTGGGCAAGTTTTTGCATGGCTGTATCACTCTTCTGCCGGGTGCCCTGAGAGAAGCTGGCACTCCTAAAAGAGAAAAGAGAAGGGGGACAGTGAGAAGATGACAGAGGATGTTCAAAGCTTTATGCAGCTAGTTGGTGCAGGAACCCTGAGGAGTCGGACAGCCCCAAGGTTTACCTAGTTCCTACCACATGTTAATGTGCGATCTTGAGATTGCTACTTTTGGCATCTCGAAAACAGTGATTAAAACCATACTATGAAGATTATTTAGGAAGTCAACTCTAGTGTATCTAGCATGTATATGTTCTAGCAATGTTAACCTTTGTGAACCTCCTGACTCCTGTGGCTGTCCTTAGCAAGGAACAGGGTCATTCCTGGGCCCCAGAGACATAACTAGCCCAGTCATACTGCCAATCTGCTCACTGTTTGATCTACCACAGAACACACATGAGTAAGTACAAAAGCTATGGGACAGTGGCAAGTTGTGGGAGAAAACAGCAAGTCATTTACTCTCTGAGTTTTAGTTTTTTCTTTTTAAAGTGAAGTCAGATCATGGGCACTGATGCTTGTATTTTAAAGAATTAATTTAAATGTAAGCTATAGGCTTATCTACCAGGAATCATGGTTTGTTGGGAGGAATCTGGTTCTTTCCAGAAATCTAAAAATATGTAGGTAAAATGAGTTCTAATTGGGAACTATATTCAGGGTAGAAAATGGTATTATTTTTATTATTTTAAATGATGGTTGTGGGAAATAAGGTAGGCAGTAAAGAAAGGAATGATTAAGAGGGCAGTTTATGTTAGGTCCTAGCATTGCTACTGACACACCCTGTGAACATCATCACGATGTTCTCCCAGATGTGACCTAGTAGGTCTCAATGATGTCTGAGGGTCCACTTGGATCAGAGGCTCTATAAGCCTTTCACTTCCTAAGAGTGGCTGTTAAACTGGGTTCTGCATAAGTACTTTGGTAAACTGGAGGGTGAGGTTTGAAGAGCGGGGAGCCAGATCTGCTTTTCTATCTCTATGATGACCCTTCAGAGGATTTCATCTGAGTGGGGAGAAAAAGGGGTCACCCCCTTCAGCACTAATTCTCAGTCTTTTGTCTACCAGAGGCATCTTTAAAAACCTAGTGACAAGCTCTGGGAGCTCTTCTCAGAATAAGGTACAGGTACATACTCAGACTTGTGCATTCTCATGGGTCACTGGCGGACCAACTGCTTTCCCTTAGCTCCTTCGCTGGGAACTTGTTAGAGATGTGGCCACCAGGTGGTGGTAGAAAATAGCACCCAGAAGTCTAGACAGATGAAGGGCACCAGATGTGCCGGCCAGGTTCCCCTTAACTTTGGCCATTGGTGGCTAGAGGTACTGTTTCAGTCCCCAAATATTTACCACCCTTCTCCCTAGGATTCTGTGTTCTTTTTCCCGTTCCAATCAATTCCAAACATATAACCCAGCCAACAGCAGGGCCCAGGATAGATGAACATCAGAGCTGAGGCAAGAGAATCAATGGCAGGCAGGTACAGAGTGTGTTCACATTTGTCTTTGGTGCTTTTTATTTTATTATTGTTTTTGAATTTCCAACCCTCTGCCAGATGTCCTCATTGATTTGTTCCTTTGACAAACACTGGCTGATGTCCTCCTTCCTGTCTAGGCCAGACACAATGGACACAGGGATGCCACCTGCTGTGTGCTTGGAAATCACAGGAGGTGCCACCCCTGCAAATCACTACAGTCAAGTTTGAGTCTGCCCGGTGGTGGGGTAGAGTGTCAGGAAGGCTTTTTCACAGACATCACATCTGAGTGAGGCTGGAAAGAAAAGCAGCAAGACAAAATAAAGGCATTCCAGTTTGAGGCCAAACATGTCTGACACAACTTGGCAAGTTTAAGGACCTACATGCTGCTCAGGCTGGAGGAAGCATGCAGAAGGTAAGGCAGACAGAAGATACTGCATGATCTCACTGGAATGGAATCCAAGTCACTTATCTCATAGAAGCAGGGTGGCCACCATTATACACAATAAAATGACACAATGGTATCTGTCAATTTAAAAAGTTTGGGATATATATATATATATATATATATATATATATATATATATATATATATATATATATATATATATAAATAAATCTGGCAGTCCAGGAAGACTCTGAAGCAGCGGCAGAACATCACTGCAGTAACAATGAACATATTCCAAAATGGGCTCGTCACCTTCCTTCTTCAAATCTCTTTCTGCCTTGACTCTCCGGTCTTGGGAAACCAGAATTGAGGAGTCACCCATACTGATTTCTAAGGTTTTATGCAATCCACTCCAACTCAGTTCCTTCTGATTTTTCTTCCCTGATCAATGAGAGGGCTAACAACCGATCTCCTTCCTTACCTCCCAGAACCCTCTGGTTATCTGCATCCTGCTGATATTTTCCCAGACTTCCCATCCAAATGCCATCAGTATAGTCTTAATGACTTAGGACTTAGGTTTATTTCAGCTTTTCTTTCTGATACTCTGGAAAACACTAGTCAAATTTACTATATATATATACTAGACCCCACCTGCTTCTGCCTCCCAAGTGCTGGGATTACAGGCAAGTGCCACCATGCTCAGCTGACCTTTTCTTCTTATAAGACAGGTTCTTACTCTGTAGTCTGTACTAGCCTCTAATTCACGATCTTCTTGTCCCAGTCTTCTGGGTGTTGTGATTACATATGTGATTACATGATTGCATACATATCTCCATACCAGACTGAAAAGCTTCTAACTTCAACCTGGCAAGGTAAAGGTTCCTCAAAATTGGCACAGATGACTTACCCCTTAAAGCCATTTCTATACTTCTGAGTATAACCATCACTTGCTTAATACTGTTCTTGGGGCAGATATGATGTTATTAGTATTATGCCTTATTGTTGCTTGTCCCTTCTACCAGACTGTGACTTCCTTGAAAAAAAGTGTGTCATAATTATTCTCCTCTGTATCCATATTACCATTTGTCACATAGAAACTAATGAGTGTAAATGGATGAAGAGCAGGTGCAGGATTACATCAACTTGTGAGTAAAGAAACTGTGGTGCTGCCATGCTTTTCCCTGAACTTGACCCACCTTGATTTTCCTGGAACTAGTTCTGTAGACCAGGCTGGCCTTGAACTCACAGAGATTCACCTGCCTCCCTAGTGCTGGGATTAAAGTTGTGTGCTACTACCACCTGGCTTAGTTTTTTTTTTTCCTTATTTTTTTTTTTAAATAGTGCAGAAGACCAAACCAGGGCCGTGTACATGTTAGTTAGGCAAATGTCCTACTCTGAGCTATATCCTTGGCCAAAACCTTTCTCTTTAGAATCCATTAAGTTATGTTCCACGTTTCCTCTGCCCCAGAATTCTCCTCTATAGTGCACAGAACGCCTCATTCACTCCCGAACACAGCCCCTTGTCTATATTCCAGCCCCGGCCTTGTATTACTCATGTCTCTTGGGAATGGTCTCTAATACAACAGAATCATTCTCTTTACAAAAGCAAAGATGCTTCCCAGCTTCTGCTTTCCCTGGGAGCCCTTCTTCCGCTTCCCCAGTACTCTGGGCTTCTATCATAACACTTAACTTACATTGCCATGTGTCCATTATCTGTGCCTGTGTCTTTCTGCCAAACCATGCACTACTGAAGGCACTGGCCTGGTGGATTGCAGAAAATACTGTAGCAGGGTGAGGGGATCATTCATTGCTTCAACATCCAGGCAAAAGGAGTTGAATAAACTAACCCCCTTGTTCTGTATCCCTACTCAAACGATGAGAGGATCAACAGGAAGAAATACAAGTACTCAGAACCCCTATAGCTTTTCCTCCTTTCATGTAACTCTTTCCCAAGACATCTTAAGATGCTTCTGTGGATGGAGCCCTGGGACTGGTAGGTTTGCCGAGAGCCTCTCCTGCTCATTCCTGACTGCTGACTGCTGCAGGCGCTAAATGGCAAATGGGGCTACCATACCCTTCTTGCATTTATGCTTTGGTCTTAATATCTCTTTGACTTTTAGAAATGATTTATTAATTTTTCTAGCCACATAATTCATATTCCTTTTATATATTTTCAAATAATCTTATGACTCATTCTGTCCTATGATTTTCCTTTTTTTTTCTACTCTACTAGACTCTAAGTATATTAATGATGGAGGGACCAATTTGATTTTTAATTAATTTCTCTCTTTTTTTTTTGAGACAGGGTTTCTCTATGTAGCCATGGTTGTCTTAGAACTTGCTTTGTAGACCAGGCTGGCCATGAACTCAGTGATCTGCCTGCCTCTGCCTCCTGAGTGCTGAGATTAAAGGTGTGTGCCTCCATGCCTGGTTTGAGTATATTTCTCATTTAAAGGAAACTTAATTTTGTAAATTAATTATGTAAGTGCTTGTAAAAAGATTAAACGCCATTTAGCATTTTATGATTGTTCATCACTGGCAATTTTTTTTTGCCTGACTTCTATTTTTTTTTAAATTAAGAAATTTTCCATTCATCCTATGTATCAGTCACAGATTCCCCTGTCCTCCCTCCTCCCACTCCTCAGGCCCCTCAACCCACCCCGCATTCCCACCTCCTCCAAGGCAAGGTCTCCCATGGGGAGTCAGCAGAGCCTGGCACATTCAGTTGAGGCAGGTCTAAGCCCCTCCTCCCTGCACCAAGGCTGTGCAGTGTTTCACCATAGGCCCTAGACTCCAAAAGCCGGCTCATGCACTAGGGACAGGTCCTGTTCCCACTGCCTGGGAGCCCCCCAGACAGTTCAAGCTAAACAACTGTCTCACTTATTCAGAGGGCCTAGTCCAGTACCATGGGGGCTCCTCAGCTATTGGTCCACAGTTCATGCATCACTGGTAATTTTAAGAAGTTACTTAGACCATCTTTCAGTACCAATCCCAAATGAGCCCCTTCTACGAGGAAAGAAAACTGTGTCACAATCTGTGAAAAATGAGATGATCTTTGGGTAGGAGATACAGCTCAGCTGGTAGAGTACTTGTTTCCCATGAATGCCTGTATTCTGCATTCAGCAGGTAGAGACTGAAGGATCAGGAGTTCAAGCTAATCCCTGG